ACCATACCATGTGTAATCTTTTGTGACTTTTTTTTCTCACTTAGAAATATATCCTAGGTAGCTGGGCATGGTGGCTCACACATGTAATCCCAGTACTGTGGGAGGTCAAGGTGGGCAGATCACTTGAGGTTAGGAGTTTGAGACCAGCCTGGCCAACATGGTGAAACCCTGTCTCTACTAAAAAATGCAAAAATTAGCCAGGCATGGTAGTGGGGACCTGTAATCCCACCTACTTGGGAGGCTGAGGCAGGAGAATCACTTGAACCCAGGAGATCGCCCCACTGCACTCCAGCCTGGGCAACAGAGCCAGACTCTGCCTCAAAAAAAAGAAAGAAAGAAAGAAATATATCCTAGACAGAGTTACAGCTCAGTAAATGTAATCTTCCAACATCAATTTGATTATTGCATTGTATGGTGAGTTCGTGTTGGTGATTTAAGATACTTATAATTTGGGCCTGGGCACAGTGGTTCATGCCTATAATTTCAGCACTTAGGTAGGCCAAAGAGGGAGGATTCCTTGGGCCTAGGAGTTTGAGACCAGCCTGGGCAACATGGTGAGACCCTGTCTTACAAAAAATAAAGAATTAGCTACGTGTGGTGGCTAATGCCGGTAGTCCCAGCTACTCAGGAATTTGAGGCTGCAGTGAGCTATGATTGTGCCATTGCACTATAGCCTGTGTGACAGAGCAAGACTCTGTCTCAGAAAAAAAAAAAACCAAAAAACTATTTCTGGCAGCATTTCTTTGGGTTTTAGCTTGTTAGCCAACCTATAAAATTCTCTGAATTAGCCGTGCGGGGTGGCACATGCCTGTAATCCTAGCTACTGGGGAGGCTGAGGCAGGAGAATTACTTAAACCTGGGAGGCAGAGGTTGCAGTGAGCTGAGATTGTGCTATTGCACTCCAGCCTGGGCAACAAGAGCTAAATTCTGTCTCAAAAAAATAAAATAAATTCTCTGTACACTGTAAAGCACAAAAACATGAGGTGTTAGGAAAAGTCAGTCCTGAACTTGAAGCCCTAGAAGAAGCAAATTAGGATAATGAGCAGTTGGTGAACCTTGCAGCATTTCACCCTCTTGGGCTACTTAAATGACAGGCTCTTTGTCCTGTAACTATAGTGTGATTGCCCTTGCCTAGTATAATTAACGTTGTCCTGATCCCCATATTCACATACCCGGAAACAAGACTTCATTCACCCATGTCAGAGATCACATTGTTACTACCTGCTTACCTGAATGTCCATAGTCAGCCTTCAGAAAAGGTAACTCTGGCCGGCCAAATCATGTTCAGGTTTATCTGCTCATCTGCCACATCCTGGTGGGAATTCTATGGGAAACAAGAGGCACATTGCATTCTTGGCACTGACAGTGCTCACTGGGACTAGTGACCATCAGAGTACCCCAAATGCAGAAACACAAGGCATTAAGGAGCATGCAGGTGCCAGGAAAAGTAGCTTTCCCTTTCCTGAAAGACTAGACACTCAGAGTTAGAGGGACCTCAGACATCATCAAGTCAGATCAGCAGCTCTTCAGTAATTAGGTCTTTCTGCAAGAATCCTGACCATTGTGTATGCACCTGCTTGAAAACCTCCAGTGATGGTTAGGCACTATGGCCCACGCCTGTAATCCCAACACTTTGGGAGGCCAAGGCAGGTGGATCACTTGAGGTCAGGCGTTCAGGACTAGCCTGACCAACATGGAGAAACCCTGTCTCTACCAAAAATACAGAAGGTAGTCGAGCATGGTGCTGCATGCCTGTAATCCCAGCTATTCGGGAGGCTGAGGTATGAGAATCACTGGAACTCGGGAGGCAGAGGTTGCAGTTAGCCAAGATCACACCATTGCACTCCAGCGTGGGCAACAGAGCAAGACTCTGTCAAAAAAGGAAAAGAAAAGAAAACCTCCAGTGACAAGGAAATCAGTCCTTCCTAAGATAAATCATTTCTTTTCTGGGCAGTTCTTCTTAGAACATTCTTCCCTACATGACTGAACATTTGTCCTCTTATGACCTGCCCCTCCTGGTCCTCATTTTATCCCCTGGGTCAAGTAGTACAAATCTTGTCTCTCTGCTACATCTTGGACTTTAAGCTTTTCACTTTTTTAAAAAAATTAGTATGCAATTAATGCTTGGCTTAGATTTTTATTGAAACACATAGTTCTGTGGTTTGAAGAATTTATTGAAACATCCATGCCAATTTGAAAGATTTCTTGAATGTCTGTTTCAGTGTTGACCTTCTCCTCTACCAGGTCTTCCTAACAGATTGAAATATTGGCCGGGTGCGGTGGCTCAAGCCTGTAATCCCAGCACTTTGGGAGGCCGAGGCGGGTGGATCATGAGGTCAAGAGATGGAGACCATCCTGGTCAACATGGTGAAACCCTGTCTCTACTAAAAATATAAAAAATTAGCTGGGCATGGTGGCGCGTGCTTGTAATCCCAGCTACTTAGGAGGCTGAGGCAGGAGAATCGCCTGGACCCAGGAGGCGGAGGTTGCGGTGAGTCAAGATCGCGCCATTGCCTCCAGCCTGGGTAACAAGAGCAAAACTCCATCTCAAAATATATATATATATTAAGTGCTTGACCAAGTGCGGTGGCTCATGCCTGTAATCCCAACACTTTGAGGGACTGAGGTGGGCAGATCACTTGAGGTCAGGAGTCAGAGAACAGCCTGGGCAATGTGGTGAAACCCCATCTCTACTAAAAATACAAAAATTAGCCGAAGTGTGGTGGTGCACCTGTATTCCAGCTACCCAGGAGGCTGAGGCATGAGAATGACTAGAACCTGGGAGGCAGAGGCCACAGTGAGCCAAGATCGCACCACTGTACTTCAGCCTGGACAACAGATCAAGACTCTGTTGTAAAACAAACAAACAAAAAGAAATATTAAGTGCTTGTGTCATATCCTGAGACAAGTGAGGTGGTTGTGTCCTGTCCTAAGAAAAGGTGTAATTCATAACGAAGATCACATTTTTATTTCACTTGAGAGCTTCGATTCACCACCGTTCTCCCCTTGGCAGCTAAAGCCGTTGATGGATACGTGAAGCCACAGATCAAGCAAGTGGTCCCTGAGTAAGTGTCCAGGTGGCTCCGGCTCTGCTTCTGCCTCTTTCCTCCTCCCCCAGACCCTGCCTCCCATCCTGATCCTGGGCCCAGCTCTCCGATCCCCCAGGAAACCTGACTCAGCCCTGGGGAGGGACCTGGGCTTGGTCACACTGTGCCAGTACCCGAGGCCCCACTCCTGCAGCTGGAGCCCCAGGGCCAGTGGGCACTTTGTCCTTCTATACCCCAAGAAAGATAAAGATGCCCCTTGGTCCCCTCCCCAAGTCAGCTGTCCCAGCCTCCCTGGTGGCTGAGCTCTGTTCTCTTCCTTCTGCAGGTTTGTGAACATATCTGCAGATGCCGGTGGGGGCAGCAGCGCCACGTACATGGACCAGGCCCCCTCCCCAGCCGTGTGCCCCCAGGCTCACTATAACATGTACCCACAGAAGTAGGTGGCATTCTTGTGGGGGTCCACGGAGGAGGAACTGGGAACATGGCCCCAGCCTGGTCTCCTGGAGGGGTGGTGGGCAAAGAATCCAGAGCCACCCAGTCTGGGCCCAGCCTCTGGCCCTTGGGAGGGAGAGATTTGACCAGAAATGATCAGTGGTTTAGAGTCGGGCTGGGCAGATACCATCTGTTCCCCTCTCAAAATGGAGGCGTTTCTTCCTCTAAGGACAGTGGAGTTGTGATGTGTCTGGACAGCCCGTGTGAGAGGTATGGGGAGGATGTTTCAGTCCAAGTTGCTGCACACCAGCTGTTCGGATGGTAGTTCTTTTTCATGAAGCCCCAGGCCAAGGGCATAGGCTGGCTCACACTGCCCCCCCAACCCACGTCCTGTGGGGCTTGGGGTGGTCTCTGACAGCCTTTCCCCCTTCCCTTCATCCCTCTTCTTTCCCTCCCAAGCCCTGACTCAGTCCTTGACACCGATGGGGACTTCGATCTGGAGGACACGATGGACGTGGCACGGCGTGTGGAGGAGCTCCTGGGCCGGCCGATGGACAGTCAGTGGATCCCGCACGCACAGTCGTGACCCTCAACCTCCCCGTCTGCTGCTTCTTCATCGTCGCCAGAGGAATCAGTCTTGTGGATGTTTTAATTCCATGAATCGCTTCTCTTTGGAAACAATACTCATAATGTGAAGTGTTAATACTAGTGACTTTAGTGTTTCTGTGCATGGTGGCACCAGCGAAGGGAGTGTGAGTGTGTTTGTGTGTGCATGTGTGTGTGTGTGTGTTTGCACTGTGGTGTTTCTCCCTCTCACTGTCTGAGAGTGTAGCTGTAGCAGAGGGGCCACGGACAGAGGCTGTGGCGGTTTTTACTTTGTCAAAGGAGTCGGTGAGTTTCATGAAGCCTGGAACTTGGCCATGTGTCTTAAGAGTGGCTGGACTTTGACATGGTGGCTGTTCAAATAAGAGAAGGATAAAGGGAGGAGAAAGCATGTGTGCTCCAGTGAGTCTTCGTCACTCTGTCTGCCAAGCAATTGATATATAACCGTGATTGTCTCTGCTTTTCTTCCTAAATGTAGATAACTGCCTTTTGACAAAGAGAGCCTTCCCTCTCCCCGACCCCTGTGCTCTTGGGTAGGAATGGAAAGGGGCAACCTACAGAGATCATCGGGGCAAGGGAAGTCACAGGTTTTCAGATGGGCTTTTCACGTGACACTTAGCCCACCTTAACATTCTCTCTTTGTCGTCTCTCCTCCTGCCCGCCCGCACCCTGGAATTGCCACTCAGTTCCTCTGGGTGTGTGCATATGCAGACATGTTTGGAGAAAAGAGGGCTGTGTAACTGAGAGCTGACGGTGCCGATGCCCTTTGTGTTCTGGCCAGAGCGGAGTGCCCAGCCCGACTCCCAGGTACTGAGACTGTTGCCTAGTTACCCAGGAAGCTGCTGTTCTGGCTGCCCAGCCTTTCTCTGAGCCAGTGGATGCACGGTCCGAGGTGTTCTTCAGGCTTCTGGATAATGCTTTTTGCAAATGTTGAATCATGTTTCTGTTTCTATTTTGTTTTCCCCTTCCCACCCTAATTTGACATCAGAATTCTTCTGCATTGGGCCCTGGGTCATCCGAACCCAGGTCACCTCATTTCCCTTTTCTGTTCATACATGACATACTGAAGAGTAGGTGGCAGCAGTGTGGGCTGAACCTAGGCCAGCTTGCTCAGCGGGTCACCCCGCGTGGGGTCCTGGGTGCCAGGTGTTGGTGATGTGGGGAAATGCAGTCACCAGGTTTGCTGGGGAGTTTGATTAAGTATAAAAATGAAACAAAACAAAACAAAAAGCATCAGTATAATTTTGTTCCACAATTTCTTCTGTAGCTTTACACCAGAAGGAAGGAATGGGCTACGGCAGGCAGTGGGGGACGAAGGGGGTGAGCAGGTGTATTAAAATAGCTTACGGGTAAGGCCTAATAGGTCACCCTCGGCCCCCTCTCCAAAAGAAGGGCATGACCACCCCCAGGAGAGGATGGCCCCCAAAACCTTATTTTTATACATGAGAGTAAATAAACATATTTTTTTTACAAAAATAACTTCTGAACTTACCAGTGTTTTGCTGTTAAAGAAAAATATTCCTCTATAGTAAATTATTTATTGGAAGATGACTTTTTTAAAGCTGCCGTTTGCCTTGGCTTGGTTTCATACACTGATTTATTTTTCTACGCCAGGCAGTAGAGTCTCACTGCCTCTGAGGAGCAGGCAACCCCTATCCCACTCAGCCCCTCCCTCCCCCTCAGGATTTGAAAATTCCCACCGTGAGGTTGGGTGCATCAGGGAAGGCGAGAAGGAGAGCCTGACTGCTCAGGAACCCAGGCTCAGAGAGCCCCTCCCTGCCCACCACCCATAGATTCTTCACCGGCACCTGCCTCTGAGACCTCCCACTCTGTTCCAGCAACCCTGGGAGGGTCGGACTTGATACACTTTCAGGTTGGGAGTGGACCCAGCCCAGGGCCTGCTGAGGACAGAGTAGCCAGGCAGTCCCGGGCTGCTTGGAGCTCACTTTGCAGTTAGCACTGGGTCTGGGAGGAAGACAGCCGATGAGTGTGGCTTCACTGAGCGTGGGGTTCCCCTGCTCCTCCAGCTGTGAGCTGTCCTCGGTGTTACCGAGGCTGTGCCTAGGGAGGGGAGATTTTTGACAAAAGGTGTGTTCGCTCTCTGCGTTCTATCTTCTCTCTTCTCCCTGCTCCTGCAGACCACAAGGAAAGGTAGTGGTGTGTCTCGACCCCATCAGCCTCCATCCACTCCCAGACACACGCAAGTCCTCAAATGTTTCAGCTCCGTGTGTGCTATGTGCAGGGTTTTGTAGGGGGTAGCGGGAGACTAAAATCAAATGAAAGTATACTTTTTATAATTTTTCTTTTTAAAACTTTGTGAAATTATTTCAGATACATATTTTAGTGTCAAGGCAGATTAGTTATTTAGCCACCAAAAAAAAGTATTGTGTACAATTTGGGGCAGTCACAAAATTGTGTATTTTATGTTACAATAAAGGCTTCCTCTGAAGGGATGGTATTGAGTCCTGTTGTTACTTTTTTCTGTCATGTGCCAAGGGAGGGCAGCTTGAACAGGGAAAGTTTCAGTTCATCAGCATGACCCTGAAAAAGGGAACTGGTCAGGAATTGGCTGCCTCAGAGGGCACGTCATTAGCTCTGATGGTAGATGGGGCCTTTCATACCTTTCTGCTCATGTGATGTTTTGAAAATGAGAATGATGGTCTTCATCTTCTAGCCTCCTGACTCTGGAAAGCTCGTCCTTAAGATTCAGCACATTTAGAGTACCTGGCCCTGAGTTCAGCATTGTGTGTGGGATGAACTGGTTCCCTCCCGCAGAGGCTCACAGTTGGAGAAACGCAGCTAGCACAACTGATGATGCCAGGATGTTGGTTCCTGCTGCAGTCAAGGCATCCCAAAAGTCATTACGCAAAAGAACATGCACTGAGCATGACACTGAGCAACTCCAGCTGATTCTTTTTTTGAGAGTGAATCTTGCGCTGTCGTCCAGGCTGGAGTGCAGAGTGGCATGATAGCTCACTGCATCCTCTGCCTCAGAGGTTCAAGATACTGTCGTGCCTCAGCCTCCTGAGTAGCTGCGATTACAGGTGCCACCACATCCAGCTAATTTTTGTATTTTTAGTAGAGACAGGGTTTCACCATGTTGGCCATGCTGGTGTTGAACTCCTGATCTCAGATGATCCACCCGCCTCGGCCTCCCAAAGTGCTGGGATTACAGGCATAAGCCACGGTGCCTGGTCATCCATTGCACCTGGCCCTATTTTTTCTTTGAGTCAGCTCGAGGCTGGGCACAGTGATTCATACCTGTAATCAATCCCAGCACTTTGGGAGCCCGAGGTGAGTGGATCACCTGAGGTCAGGAGTTTGAGACCAACCTGGTTAACATGGTGAAACCCCCTTTCTACTAAAAAATACAAAAAGTTACCCAGGCGTGGTGGTACGTACCTGTAATCCCAGCTACTTAGGAGGCTGAGTCAGGAGAATCGCTTGAAACTGTGAGGTGGAGGTTATAGTGAGCCGAGATCGTATCTTTGCACTCCAGGTTGGGCAGCAGGAGCGAAATTGTCTCAAAAAAAACAAAAAAAAGAACAAATAGGAGTAAAGAAAACACAAGGCAAGCACAGCTAAAGGCCTAGAGAGGCTGAGGCAGGAGAATCACTTGAACCCAGGAGGTGGAGGTTGCAGTGAGCCAAGGTTGTGCTACTATACTCCAGCCTGGTGACAGAGCCAGACTCCGTCTCACAAAAAAAAAAAAAAAAAAAAAAAAAAATGCAGAAACAAATAAATTTGCTAGAGAGCCTCAGATTTCAAAAGGCAGGAGATAGCAAACTTGAGGACAGATTCATGGAAATTATATACAGTCTCAAAAACAGGAAAAAAAGATTAAAAATCTGGGCCAGGTGCGGTGGCTCACTCTTGTAATCACAGCACTTTGGGAACCTGAGGCAGATGGATCATTTGAGGCCAGGAGTTCAAGAGCAGCCTGGCCAACATGGTGAAACCCCATCTCTACTAAAAATATAAAAAATTAGCTGGGCGTGGTGGCGGGTGCCTGTAATCCCAGCAGTCACTCGAGTGCAGCAGTTAAGACCAGCCAGGACAACCCAGTAAAATCCCATCTCTACAAAAAAAATACACACATTAGCTGGACATGCCAATACACCCCTGTAGGCCCCGCTACCCAGGAGGCTGAGGTGGGAGGATCGCTTGAGGTGTGATGACGCCACTGCACTCCAGCCTGGGTGACAGCAAGAAAAAAGAAGCCAAGTACAAAAGACCACATATTATATGATGCCATTCATAGGAAATGTCTAGGATAGGCAAATCCATGGAGACAGAAAGTAAACTTGAGGTTGCTGAGAGGCTGGGAAGGAGCATGGAGGTAATAGTGAAAGGATACAGGGTTTGGGGTTTTTGTGTGTGTGTGTGTGTTTTTTTTCTTGAGACTGAGTCTGGCTTTGTTGCCCAGGTTGGAGTGCAGTGGTGCCATCTCAGCCCACTGCAACCATCGCTTCCTGGGTTCAAGTGATTCTCCTGCCTCAGCCTCCCGAGTAGCTGGGAGTACAGGTGCATGCCACCTCACCTGGCTAATTTTTGTTACTTGATTTATTTATTTATTTATTTGGAAGAAAATCACTTTATTCTAATTAACTCACAAAGAATAAAATCATAACAGCGAGTTTAAGGAGGCCACACAAACATTTGACCAGCTCCAAATTCTACAGAGTAGGAACACCCCCTTCCATTTCAATTCAGAGGCAAGGAAGCTAGGAATGACAGGAGAGGTTTAACTGATGATTACACTTTATACCTTCACTATTAATTAAATTTTTATATTAAGTTAACTTGGTTATGAGAGCTGGTTTTCCATTTCTCCAGTTATTGCAAGTTGGCATTGTTTCAGCACCTCACTGAAACTCTCACAGAGCTTGATGTCACCCTGGTTCTGGGAAGCAAGGCTGCTGCTGCTGTGCCGGCTGGGTTCCCTGAGGCTCCTGGTAAGTGATGTCAGGCCTCGCAGGCTCGGGATCACTTCTAACACTGAAGCCCCCAGTAATGGTGTGGCCCAGTGTGTGCCCCACAGCAGAGCCCACAGCCACGCCAGCTGCAGTGGTTGCCATCTGGGACAGCAGACCTGGCTGCCAGGGCACAGCAGCAGGAGAGCCAACTGCAGAGGGGGGTGCCGCTGCTGGTCACTGAGTGGCTGGTGCTGGCCTGGGCGCAGCTCTCATCTGAGGGGCCCAGCTGGCCAAAGGGGCCATGCAGGAGGTGCAGCTTCAGCTTCTACACGGCATCCTTGCTACGGGGCTGCTCGGCCTTTAGACGTACAATAACCAGGGAAGAGCTCAGCAGCTTCCTAATTTTTGTTATTTTTAGTAGAGACGGGGTTTTGCCATGTTAGCCAGGCTGGTCTTGAACCCCTGACCTCAGGTTATTCACCCACCTCGACCTCCCAAAGTGCTGGGATTATAGGCATGAGCCACCACACCCCGCCCAGGTTTGGGTTTTTTTTTTTTTTTTTTAATGTATTTAATGAATGGGCAGATGCCTGAGCTAGAGTAGGCTCAGAGAGACTCCCCAGGGTTTATTTTTGAGGTGATGAAAATGTGATAAAATTGTGGTGTTAGTTGCACATATCTCTGGATGTGCTAGCTCTTGAATTGTACACTAAATGAGTGATTTGTAAGGTGTGTGAATTATATCTAATAAAGCTGTTATTGGGTCAGACCCAGTGGCTCACACCTGTAATTCCAGCACTTTGGAAGGCCAAGGTAGGAAGATCACGGAGACCAGGAATTCCAGTCCAGCATGGGCATACAATGAGACCCCTATCTAAAAAAATTTTTTTTAATTAGCTGGACATGGAGGCACATGCCCGTAGTCCTAGCCACTCAGAGGCTGAGGTGGGAGGATCGCTTGAACCCAGGAGTCCAAGGTTGCAATGCCACTGAACTCCAGCCTGGGCAATAGAGCGAGACCCTGTCTCTAAATAAATAAATAATAAAAGCAAATGCAAGACTTCAGCAAGGAAAAAAGTGAAAGTGAGGTGAGTTAGCCAGAGAGTGAGAACAGATCTGTTGAAAGAAGCTCAGCTGTGACGAGGAGAGGTACTCATCAGGTAGAACCTCTCTTCTCAGAGGTACCCGGAGGCCAGTGAGAGGAGGAAGGGAGTGTCTTAGTGTTTTGAGGGCCTAGGTCAAGAGCACACAACCTGGGCAACATAGAGAGGTCCCGTCTCTATAAAAAATAAAATTAGCTGAGAGTGACGGTGCACATCTGTAATTCCAGCCACTCTGGAGGCTGAAGCAGGAGGATCACTTGAGTGCAGGAGGTTGAGCTATGATCACGCCACTGCACTCCAGTCGGGTAACAGAGCACGACCCTGTCTCAAAAAAAAAAAAAAGAGAGAGAGAGAGGCCGGGCGTGGTGGCTCACGCCTATAATACCAGCACTTTGGGAGGCTGAGGCGGGTGGATCATGAGGTCAAGAGATCGAGACCATCCTGGTCAACAAAGTGAAACCCCCATCTCTAGTAAAAATACAAAAATTACCTGGGCATGGTGGTGCGCGCCTGTAGTCCCAGCTACTCGGGAGGCCGAGGCAGGAGAATTGCTTGAACCCAGGAGGCGGAGGTTGCAGTGAGCCGAGATCGTGCCATTGCACTCCAGTCTGGGTAACAACAGCAAAAATCTGTCTCAAAAAAAAAAAGAGAGAGGTTTGTAATTTTCTTTGGAATAAAGCTGGTAAGCTAACACAGATGGTCACCCAGTAACCAGGTAAAGTTAAGATAAACTATATGTGACTGTCTGGGCACAGTGGCTCATGCCTGTAATCCCAGCACTTTGGGAGGCCAAGGCCAGTGGATCACTTGAGGTCAGGAATTCAAGACCAGCCTGGCCAACATGGTGAAACCCCGTCTCTACTAAAAATACAAAATTTAGCTGGGTGTGGTGACACAAGCCTATAATCCCAGCTACTCGGGAGGCTGGGGCAGAAGTATTGCTTGAACCCGGGAGGTGGAGGTTGCAGTGAGCTAAAATTGTGCCACTGCACTCCAGCCCAGGCGACAGAGCAAGACTTGTCTCAAAAAAAAAAAAAAAAAGATAAACTCTATGTGACAAGCGGTGTCGTCAAGTCCTCTTACTTGAAGACTGGTGATTGTTTATCTTGAAAGCATGTATGTAATGGGTTGTATGCATTTGGCTATACAAAAAAGTGAGATTTCCTTCTGTCTCTGCAAGCTCTTAGCAGATCACCTGTCAGCCACATCACATTCTGGTTGGATGTTTATTCGATAATAAAATTATTTTCTTTCTCTGCTACCTGGAGGGAGAAAATTTCTGAGTTGGGAGAGCTGGGGTTTTAAGAGTTCTTAAGCTTGAGGCTGCTTAAGGGAAAAGTGTGCCCTTCCAGCTCAACGGTGCTCTTTCCCACAAACACCTTTCTCTTCCTTCACCTGCATGAGTTTCGGACCATGCCAGTCTGGCCCTAACTCCCTCAACTGCCAGGCTGGGCTAGCGTCCGACCTACAGTCCCGTAAGCAACCTGCCCCTTTAAGAGCAACCCCACCCTCCGCCCAGCTCCTCCCTCAGGCCTGGTGGCCGGATTTCCCAGTTGGAGCGCAGCTCTTTAAAGTCATCGCTCCTTCTTTCTGACCGGATTTGTGCTGAGACCCAGGGGCCTCCATGCTGTGCGGGAAGTAGGCAGAAGCCAGCTGTGACAGGTGCATGTGGGTATGGACCCCACAGGAGGGCTCAGGAGGGACAAGGAGCTGGGACGGGGTGGATCCCGAGAGAAAGCAAAGCCACTCAGGAATGGGCAAGAGATGGTGTTAAGCAGCTGCTGTGTGCCTGACCCTGTGCCAAGCCCTTCCTGTGCCTTTTTTTCCTTTTTCTTTCTTTCTTTTTTTTTTTTGAAACAGCATCTCACTCTGTTGCCCAAGGTGGAGTGCAGTGGCACAGTCTCAGCTCACTGCAGCCTCAACCTCCTGGGCTCAAGGGATCCTCCTATCTCGGCATCCCAAGCAGCTGGGACTACGGGTGTGCCACCATGCTGGGCTAGTTTTTCAAATTTTTGGAGATAGAGCCTCCCTATGTTGCCCAGGCTGGTTGCAAACTCCTGAACTCAAGAGATCCTCCTGCCTCAGCCTCGCAAAGTGCTGGGATTACAGGTGTGAGCCACCTCACCCAGCCTGCCCCTACCTTCTGAGAAAGGTATTCTTATTCCCATTTTTCAGATCAGGAAACGGAGCTCAGTGCAGCCCACTGAATTACTCGGGGCCCTGCAGCTAACGCAGGGCAGAGGCAGGATCTGAACTCAGGTCAGTGGGACTCCAAAGCCTTGATAGTCTCTCCTCCACATCCCCTGTCCCACAGGAGCCTGCCTTCCCAAACTTCATTTTTCCTTGGTTTTCCTGTATGCAGAATAGTATTGGGAAAGAAATCGGTATCTCCTAGGCCGGGCGCCGCGGCTCACGCCTGTAATCCCAGCACTTTGGGAGGCCGAGGTGGGCGGATCACCAGAGGTCAGGAGTTCAAGACCAGCCTGACCAACACAGAGAAACCCCATCTCTACTAAAAAATACAGAAATTAGCCAGGCGTGGTGGTGCACGTGTGTAATCCCAGCTACCCGGGAGGCTGAGGCAGGAGAGTCTCTTGAACCTGGGAGGCAGAAGTTTCGGTGAGCCAAGATCGCACCATTGCACTCCAGCCTGGGCAACGAGAGCAAAACTCCATCTCAAAAAAAAAAGAAATGGGTAATTCCTGCATGTCCCCATATCTGGGTTCCGTTCTTCTCCCAGGAACTGCTTGGAGATGTTGCTATGGCCACTTCTGCTGCTTCTGCTGCTGCTGCTGCTGCCAACATTGGCCCTGCTCAGACAGTGGCGGTCCCAGGATGCCAAGCTGTCTTGGCTTGCTGGCCTCCAGCACCAAGTGGCATGGAGGGCCCTGGGCTGGGCAGCCACCTGGCAGCGGCGGAAGCTGGAGCAGAGCACGCTCTACATGCACCAGAGCCAGCAGCAGGCCCTGAGGTGGTGTCTACAGGGAGCCCAGCGCCCTCACTGCCCCCTGAGGGGGAGCACAGGTGAGTTCCAGGGTCTGGGGAGGTGACTCCAAGAGAAAGAAACCCCACAGGACCGTCGGATTCTGGAGCCTAATGGCCCCCTTGCCTCCTCCACTGCCAACAGAGTGCCCTGACCCAGATGCCCATGACTGGCTCTCTTGTCCAAGATGAATTTCCCATGCTGGGTCCTTATATCCCCTCTACCCCAGGCCTAATCTTGGCTCCTCCCTCAAGGGTCTCACCAGTCTTGCCTGAAACTCTTGGGAAACTGTGGCTTCCTAAGGCATTTCTGTTGTCATTGGGGCTACAGACATAAGCACCTTCCGGAATCATCTCCCTTTGACCAAGGCCACCCAGACCCAGGAGGAAGAGAGCAGAGAGCAACTACTGCCCCCAACCTCACACCCGGACCTGGGGGAGGCCTCTCTGCAGGTAACTAGGATCCCCAGAGCCCAGTCCCACCCGCCAAACCCTCCTATCACGGTGGGAAAGAACCCTCAAACTGGGGGCTCTGGGTCTGGCCCTGAAACCAGGCTGGCACACTCTCTTTCCTCCTCAGGCCACCTTGCTGGGTCTGGTAGCCCTAAACAAGGCCTACCCAGAAGTACTGGCTCAGGGCAGTGCTGCCTGTCTGACCCTCACATCCCCTTGGCCCCAATCCCTGCCTTGGCCTGGGAAGGCCCTGGGCAGGGTTAGCACCCCTGGAACCAAGGACCCTAGGGTCCTCCTGCTGGAGGCACTGAGGTCCCCAGGGCTGAGGGCACTGGAGGCCAGGACTGCGGTCGAACTCCTGGATGTCTTCTTGGGCCTGGAGGCTGACAGTGAAGAGCTGGCAGGGGCGATAGCTGCCGGGAACCCTGGAGCGCCTCTCCCTGAACGGGCTGCTGAGCTGCGGGAGGCCCTAGAGCAGGGACCCCGAGGACTGGCTCTTCGGCTGTGGCCAAAGCTGCAGGTGGTGGTGACTCTGGATGCAGGAGGCCAGGCTGAGGCTGTGGCTGCCCTCGGGGCCTTGTGGTGCCAAGGACTAGCCTTCTTCTCTCCTGCTTATGCGGCCTCTGGAGGTCAGTGGGATTCAAGGGCAGTGAGGTGGGGGCAAAGGTCAGAGGTCACATAGCAAGCAGCCATGCATTGGGTCCTACATAATCATCTCATTTAATTGTCCCCAGCATGCTGTATGCTGGAGTCAGCAGCCTCCTTTTACAAGTGAAGAAACACAGGCTCATATAGGTTAAGATTCTTGCGGCCGGGTGCAGTGGCTGACGCCTGTGATCTCAGCATTTTGGGAGGCCGAGGCAGACAGATCACTTGAGGTCAGGAGTTCCAGACCAGCCTGGCCAACATGGGGAAACCCCATCTCTACTAAAAATACAAAAACGAGTGGGGCATGGTGGCACATGCCTGTAATCCCAGCTACCTGGGAGGCTGAGGTGGGAGGATTGCTTGAACCTGGGAGGAGGAGGTTGTAGTGAGCCGAGATTACACCATTGCACTACAGCCTAGAGCCTGGGTGACAAAGCAAAACGCTGTTTCAAAAAAAAAAAAAAGGCAGCCAGGCGTGGTGGCTCACGCCTGTAATCCCAGCATTTTGGGAGGCCAAGGCGGATAGATCACTTGAGGTCAGGAGTTCGAGACCAGCCTGGCCAACATGGTGAAACCCCCTCTCTACTAAAAATACAAAAATTATCTGGGTGTGGTGGCACATGCCTGTAATCCCAGCTACTCTGGAGGCTCAGGCAGGAGAATCACTTGAATCCAAGAATCACTGAATCACTGAGCCGAGGTCACACCACCACTGCACTCCAGCCTGGGTGACAGAGCGGGACTCTGTCTCAAAAAAAAAGAAAAAAAGAGTCTTACACAAATTTATGTGGCACCAGGATTGACTCTCGGCTCTGCCACCTCCTCTTTCCAGTGAGGGCCTAAGAGGCAGCCCGCTGAGCCTGGGGGAGCCAGGAAGGATAGGGTGGAAGGGCAGCAGGAGGATCAGGTGCTCAGAGGATCGGGCCTGGGGTCCAGGAGGGGCTATAGCCTGGCAGAAAGCAATGGCACCAGCAGACGCTGAGGATGCTGCTTGGCTTCCACAGGGGTGCTCGGCCTAAACCTACAGCCAGAGCAGCCCCACAGGCTCTACCTTCTGCCCCCTGGACCCCTCTTTATCGAGCTGCTCCCAGTCAAGGAAGGCACCCAGGAGGAAGCTGCCTCCACTCTCCTTTTGGCCGAGGCCCAGCAGGGTGAGGAGTATGAGCTGGTGCTGACAGACCGTGCCAGCCTCACCAGGTGATCACCTGTGCAGCCCCTGCTACCTTGGGCCCTCTGGGTTGTTTGGTGCCTGGAGCACGAGCTTAGGAGCCCTCAGGCCTGAGCTCACTCCCACTCACACCCCATCAGGTGCCGCCTGGGTGATGTGGTGCAAGTGGTTGGTGCTTACAATCAGTGTCCAGTCGTCAGGTTCATCGGCAGGTAGGTGACCCTGGGGAGCGGAAGGGCCATCCTTGTGTCCTGGGCTCCACCACCTCTCCCTGCCTCCTCTTCAGGCTGAGCCAGACCCTGAGTGTGCGAGGGGAAGATATTGGTGAGGACCTGTTCTCTGAGGCCCTGGGCCGGGCAGTGGGGCAGTGGCCGGGGGCCAACCTGCTGGACCATGGCTGTGTGGAGAGCAGCATTCTGGGTGAGCTTCCCTTCCGGCTCCTGCCTACCATTCTTGGGCTGGCTACCCTTCAACTCCAAAGCTTTGATAGTCTCTCCTCTGCATCACCTGTCCCAGAGGGGCCTGCCTTCTTCCCAAACTTCATTTTTCCTTGGTTTTCCTGTATGCAGCAAAGTGTGGGGGAAGAAATGGGTAATTCTGCATGGGAGTGGACCCCAGCCCAGCCATTCCCCCACTTCCCTGCTCAGAAAGAGATAAGAGTCAGCTTCCTTTGCCACTCCTACAAAAGTGCTTCCCTGCATCTAACTGTCATCCATCCTGCTGCAGTTTCTACCCATCTTCTTTCCTGCTCTGTCTCCCATTTAGGATCAAGCTCTAGGACCCTCTCTATTTACCCCACTCCCCAAGAAGAAACTCTTTTTTCCCTGTGAACCTCAGAGTGGGGAAGAACAGGTGGTGGCAGAGGGTACTGGACTTGGCAGTTGCCCATTCACTGGAAGTATGTGTGCACATGGGGTCTGTTCACAGATTCTGCTGTGGGCTCTGCTCCCCACTACGAGGTGTTTGTGGAGCTGAGGGGGCTGAGGAATCTGTCGGAGGAAAATCGAGACAAGGTAAAGGAGACGAGGCCAGGGTCTGCCTGTAGGCCCCTTCACTCTCACACTCCGGGGTGCCATGGAGATCAGGCTTGATGGGGAGGGAAGGGGTGGGGGAGAAGAAGGTTCTGGGAGGGGAGGGGTGACCCCCACAGACACACATCTGTCCACCCAGAACTTCTAAACACATGTAGCCTGGGCACAGCCACACATGCCTCATGTGCGCACTCACGACCACACACCAGCTCACTCAAGCCATTCTGTTCCCAGCTGGACCACTGCCTTCAGGAAGTGTCTCCCCGCTACAAGTCCCTGCGGTTCTGGGGCAGCGTGGGCCCTGCCAGAGTCCATCTGGTGGGGCAGGGGGCCTTCCGAGCACTCCGGGCAGCCCTTGCTGCCTGCCCCTCCTCCCCATTCCCCCCTGCGATGCCCCGGGTCCTTCGGCACAGGCACCTGGCCCAGTGTCTGCAGCAGAGGGTGGTGTCCTGAGTCAAGGCCTGCCCCACCGGCCACTCCTACCTCTGAGACCTCTCTGGATGGGGAGTCCTTGGCTGGGGTCTGTGACTCTGTGTCACCTGACATTTCCCATGAGAGCCACTGGGCCTTAGGGAGGCCTTGGCCCAGTTGACCAGTTCTGAGGCATGGGCCTCCAGGGTTAGCAGACACCAGCAGCACCTGCCCATGTCCCCGGGTCCTGGCATGGCGGACACTGCTAGAGTTCCCATGGATGCCGACAGTTTCCTGTGTCACAGCCCGACAGGCTTCTCTGGCGGCCACAGTCGTGTGCTCAGTCCATGCACTGGGCAGGCTGGAAGTGTTGGGGGGTTAATGTCCCCAGGAGCAACCCTGAGTCAATAAGGAGCAGGACCTCAGCTTCATTGTCCTTGAGCGGGACAATTCTGAAGTGTATTCTACATAAACTCTCGGAGGATGCCCAGCAAGATGGAGTCTCCACTGCCCAAAGCAGTAACCCACTCATTCATGTACCTCCTGAGGGGCTCCTCCCCTGCCTCCTTCCCCACTCCCTCCTTGGGCTTCCTGGGATGCTCCCAAATAAACCTCTGGCAGCCAGATTCTTGCCTCAGGGTCTTTGGGGAAACTGGGGAGTGGACCCTGGCTCCAGGTCTGGTCTGGGCCTGGCTAGGCCCCGACTGCGCGTGCACACAGGAGCCTTTGGGGACACCTAGCACCTCCTAGGCCAGCACCCACAAGCCACTTCTGCGGCGGGAATGAGAGAACGGTTGCTTCACACCTTAAGGCACTGCAGCAGGAAGCAGCCCCGGAGACCATCGGGGTTAACTGTTCTACACCAATGTGGAAATGCAGCCTCCACAGGTTTGTAGAGGCTAAAATAAAAGAAAGAAAGAAACTGGGCTTGATTTTGTCTTCCTTCCCTCCCCCTGCCTGGGCTGTTTTTAAGGTTTTCCATCTTGGAGGCTGCGGGGAGGGGCAAACCAAGACCCTCCAGCTCCTCCTGAGTAGAGGCCTCACTGGTTCCAGATGCCTCTGAATGGCTTCTCCATTCCATGTCCCCATATCCAGGCCCTTGCTGCAAGCCTCCCAGCCCCCGCCTCAGCCTGTCACTCCATCCTAAAATCACTCCCACCTGGCCGGCTAGGTGCAGTGGCTCACGCCTGTAATCCCAGCACTTTGGGAGCCTGAGGCAGGTGGATCACGAAGTCAAGAGTTCAAGACCACCCTGGCCAAGACAGTGAAAATCATTTCTACTAAAAATACAAAAATTAGTCAGACCTGGTGGCACACGCCTGTAATCCCAGCTACTCGGGAGCCTGAGGCAGAGAACCACTTGAACTCGGAAGGAGGAGGTTGCAGTGAGATGAGATGGCGCCACTGCATTCAAGCCTGGGTGACAGAGCAAGACACTGTCTTGAAAACGAACAAAAATCCTCCCCTGAAGCTGGGCACAGTGGCATGGGCCTGTAGTGGCAAGAGGCTGAGGTGGAAGGATGGCTCATGCCCAGGAGTTCAAGACCAGCCTGAGCAACACAGCGAGACCATCCCCGGAAAAAAAAAATCCTCCCATAGTGGCTTCCATCACCCACAGGATTAAGATCAATCAGCTTGGCCTATTAAGACCGACTGACCTGGGCCCCCCACCTACTTGTCCAGCCACCTCTCTCCCCTTGCTTGAAAGAAGTCCTGGACTAAAGACCACACCTCACCTCTCAACCCTTAGGTTGCTAAGCATTAACTCCAGGCATTTGCTCAAGTTGTCCCCTCTACAGAATGCCCTCCTTCCTGCTGCCCCTGATATAACCCTAGTTTTCAGGTAGTGTCTTTGAGGACCCCTACCAGGCCCACTCCAGGCAGAGTGACTGGCTCAACTTTGCCTGTGTGGGAAGCAGTCCTCTCCTTCACCGAACTATCATTATGCCTGAACTGCCTCCTACCTGCACTTACAAGCTCCTTGGAGTGCCCAGGGCCTGGTGTGGCACACAGCAAGAGCTCAATAAAGAGGTTGTAGACCAGATGCGGTGGCTCACGCCTGTAATCCCGGCACTTTGGGAGGCTGAGGTGGGTGGATCACCTGAGGTCAGGAGTTCGAGACCAGCCTGGCTAACATGGTGAAATCTGGTTTCTTCTAAAAATACAAAAAACTAGCCATGCATGGTGGCTCTCGCCTATAATTCCAACTACTTGGGAGGCTGAGGCAGGAGAATTGCTTGAACCCGGGAGGCAGAGATTGCAGTGAGCTGAGATGGCACCATTGCACTCCAGCTTGGAAAAAAGGAGTGAAATTCCGTCTCAAAAAAAAAAAAAAGAGGTTGTGAATAAGATACAACCAGGCCTGGAGATGCCATGTGTCTGTCCTGCAGGGTAGCTCAGTCCTGCTGATGGCGGAGTGGGACCACATCCCTCCCCTCCAGGCAGCCTGAGCTGGGTAAAAAGCTGGGGAGGTAGAAGTTTTCTACCAGCTTCTGGTAGAAACTGAGTTTGGTTAGGCACAGTAGCTCATACCTATCATCCCAGCACTTTGGTAGGCCGAAGGGAGAAGATGGCTTGAGCCAGGGGTTTGAGACCAGTCTGGGACACCCAGTCTCTACAAACAAATTTAAAAATTAGCCAGGCATGGTGGCACACATCTGTGGTCCCAGGTACTTGGATGGCTGAGGTGGGAGCTTTGCTTGAGCCCTGGTAATGGATGCTGCAGTGAGCTATGATTGTCCCACTGCACTGCAGGCTGAGTGACAGAGTGTAGCCCTGTCAAGAAAGAAAATAAAGAGAGAAAGAAGGAGAGAGTGAGAGAAAGAAGAAATACAAGAAGGAAGGAAGGAAGGGATGGAGGGAGGGAGGCAGGGAAGGGAAAAAAGAGGCTGGGTGTGGTGGCTTACGCCTGTAATCCCAACACTTTGGGAGACTGAGGTGGATGGATCACTTGAGGTCAGGAGTTTGAGACCAACCTGGCCAACATGGTGAAACCCTGTCTCTACTAAAAATACAAAAGTTGGCCGGGCGCCGTGGCTCAAGCCTGTAATCCCAGCACTTTGGGAGGCCGAGGCGGGTGGATCACGAGGTCAAGAGATCAAGACCATCCTGGTCAACATGGTGAAACCCTGTCTCTACTAAAAATACAAAAAATTAGCTGGGCACGGTGGCAAGTGCCTGTAATCCCAGCTACTCAGGAGGCTGAGGCAGGAGAATTGCCTGAACTCAGGAGGCGGAGGTTGTGGTGAGCCGAGATCGCGCCATTGCACTCCAGCCTGGGTAACAAGAGCGAAACTCCGTCTCAAAATAAATAAATAAATAAATAATTTTTTTTAATTAAAAATAAAATAAAAATACAAAAGTTAGCTGGTCATGGTGGCGCATGCCTGTAATTCTAACTACTAGAATGCTGAGGCAGGAGAATCACTTGAACCTAAGGTGGAGATTGCAGTGAGCTGAGATGATCATATCATTGCACTCCAGCCTGAGCAACAAGAACAAAACGTAGACACACACACACACACACACACACCCCCCAAGAAAAGAAAGAGAAACTACACTGGGCTTGGTTTTGGCTTCCTTATCTCCCACTGCCTAGGCTAGGTTTTCAAAATTCTCCATCTCAGAGGCTAGTGGAAGGGGCAGAAGGGCAGAAGGAAGCTAGCAGGAGGGGGGCAGCTAAGGAACATTTTCATGAAGGAAGAAGGCCCTGGAGCCTGACAGTCCCCAAGGGCAGTGACAACAAGCAGGGGAGGGAGAGGGCTGCTGCTGGCTGCTCCACCACCCACACACATAATGTGGGGTCTCGCAATGGTCTCTTCTCCCGCCCCTAATTAGCAGCTGCCTTCTCCCCACATTGTCCCAGGCCAGCGCCTCTTTTGTGTTCCCAGATTCCTGGGTGCAAGGTGGCCTCATTAGTGCCTGGAGACCGCCCCATCTCCAGGGAGCAGGCAGACAGACAAGGGGGTGACTGGGGCCACAGTGATCCAACCCTGGCCTCTAAACACTACAGCGGCCATTCCTTGGGCCCAGCCTGGAGACGACCCCCCTGCAGGAGGCTAATCTTAGACTTGCCTTTGTCTGGCCTGGGTGTGGACGCAAGTGCCTGTCTCTTCCCTGCCACCTCAGAGCACTATAAACCCCAGACCCCGGGGAGTGGGTCACAATTGACCACCTCAAGGTTCCCGGCTATTTGAACCACCGCGGACACCTCCATTCCTGGCCACCTCACCCTGAGCGCCAGACACCATGAAGCTTCCTTCCACAAAGGTAAAGGCCCGGGGACAGAGAGGACTCATCATACCAGAGGGGCCATCAGAGGGCCTGCTCAGAGGGCTGGAAGAAAGGCCGAAGGAGCCTCCGTGCTTGGTCTTTTCCTGGGTGTGCTCTGAGGCAGGAGTGCTTGGCTTGGCTAACCCTGGGTTGGGTGCTGCTTTCCGAAGAGCCTGTGCTTGCTGAGCTCTTCCTATGTGCCAGGCACTCCGTTTGCACCTGTCATCTCTTTTCATCCTCTCGACAGCCCTGCAGAATAGGAATTATTTCTAGTACATCCAATTTACAGGTAAGGAAGCTGTGCCCTCTAAAAGGGCAGGAAACTGGTTCAAAGCCACGAAGTTCAGTTATTCCTGCAAGGGAGCAGGCAAATGAGAGAGCATTCTGGAGTCCTGCTAGCTCCTCATTTCCACGTGTTTCCCTGCTGGAGAGGAGGTGGGGAAGGGGGATCTCAGTAAGGCCCCTGTTTTTCCTACGTTTACAACTTCTGCTGCAGATAAACAGGCCTGTTTTTAGGTGGAGTGGTAAGTGTCCTAGTGGGAGCACAGTGGACTAAGTCTCCAGAGGAGAGGGGATTCACTCCGCCCAGGGGTCTCAAAAGGCTTCCTGCGGCCGGTCGAGGTGGCTCACGCCTGTAATCCCAGCAGTTTGGGAGGCCGAAGCAGGTGGATCGCCTGAGGTCAGGAGTTTGAGACCAGCCTGGCCAACAGGGTGAAACCCTGTCTCTAAAAATAATAAAACAATAATTATAATAATAATAAAAGGCTTCCTGGAGGAGATTCTCCGCTGGGTCATGAGCGAGTAGCTGGTAAAGTAGGCCAATACGAGAAAGGGCACAGAGCTAGGAAAACGAAGTGATGGTCAGAGAGGAGCGCAGGCCAGGAGGGGGCGCGAAGCCAGCGGGTCGGGTCCTGGGCGTGGGAGCTGGTGGCAGGCGCCTTGGGAAGACCCCTAGCGCCCTGTCTTCGCCTCCCTAGGTCTCCTGGGCCTCCGTGTCGCTACTGCTGCTACTGCTGCTGCCGACCGCGCTGCTGTCGCCTGGGGTGGCTGCACGGCTCCTGCCCGACTGCTGTCGTCAAAAGACGTGCCCCTGCCGCCGCTACGAGCTGCTGCACCGCGGGGGCAATCACGCGGGCGGCCTTCTCGTGCTGGGCAAGCGGCGAGCCGGGCCCCCGAACCTCCAGGGCCAGCTGCAGCACCTCCTGCAGGCCAGCGGCAAACACGCCACGGGCATCCTGACCCTGGGCCGCCGCGCAGGCGCAGAGCCAGCGCCGCGCCCCTGCCCCCGGCGCCGCTATCCCGCCGCGGCCGCCGTATCCGTCGCGCCCCGGGGACAGTCCCGGATCTGAGTCGTTCTTCGGGCCCTGTCCTGGCCCACCAAGAGTCAGCCGCTAGAAAAACGGCAATAAAGACGAGTCTCCGTGCGTGTGGCTGGTCTCTGTTCCTGTCCTGCCCTCTTGAGGCGGCAGTGCGTCTTGCGAAGGCGGGAGGGCCTGGGAGCCTGGCTCTGGGGCACCAGCCTTAGCTTTTGCGTGGCTGAATTGGAAACACTGTGGGTTGGGGAGCTCCCAGTGTCAGGCCCTGGAGCACGCAGAGAACCGCACACTTGCATGCTCGGATCGGGACATGCGGGACTCCCACGATGCTCTGCTAGGCATTCTGTAGTGGGAACTTTACCCAGAGACGCGGAAGGGGAAGGAGAGAAGGAAAGGTTGCACAGGTCGGGCACAGTGCTCATGCCTGTAATCCCAGCGCTTTAAGAGGCCAAAGCAGGAGGATCGCTTGAAGCAGGGAGTTCGAGACCAGCCTAGGCAACATAGTGAGACATCACTCCAAAAAGTTTTTTTAATTAGCCAGGCATGGTGGCACTCGCCTATAGTCCCAGCTACTCAGGAGGCTAAAGTGGGAGGATCGCTTGAGCCCAGGAGTTTGAGTTTGAGGCTGCAGTGAGTCATGATTGGGCCACTACATTCCAGTCTGGGCCACAGAAGGAGACATTGTCAAAGAAAGAATAAGACTGCATAGAGGAGCAGAATCCAGTCAGGAAGGGGTGGGAGTTGATCCTTCAACAAAGAGCCGTCCAGAATGGCTGCACCATGGAGTATAGGATGTGGGGAGTGGAGACGCTCGGGAAAGGGACAGGGTTACAGTCAGTGCAGCCCACCTCCCAAAGGCTCTCACAAATCGTCAGGCTTTGCACTTTATCTCGTGAGTCACAGGATGTTCTTAAGCAGAGGTAGGACAAGGTTTTACTGCAACTCCAGCCAAAGACACCTGTTACCGGTGTTCCCAAAATCCATGTGTTGAAGTCCTGACCCCTGGCACTTCAGAATGTGCAGAATGTGACTGTTTTGGGAACTAAGGTCCTCGCAGACGTAATTAGTTAAGATGAGATCATACTAGTGTGGGGTAGACCTCTAATCCACTGTGACTGATGTCCTTATAAAAAAGGGAATTTGAGGCCGAGCGCGGTGGCTGACACCTGTAATTCTAGCACTTTGTGAGGCCGAGGTGGGTGGATCACCTGCAGTCAGGAGTTCAAGACCAGCCTGGCCATCATGGTGAAACCCCATCTTAAAAAAAAGGGGGGGGGGGGAATTTGAACACAAAAATGCACACAGGGAACCCATGTGAACATGACGATAGAGATTGGCTCCTACAAACTAAGGAACCCCAACGATTGCCAGCACCCCCCAGAAGCCAGGGGAGAGGCACGCAACAGGTTCTCCCTCACAGTGTTCAGAGGGAGCCAACCCTGCCTTCACCTGACCCGGCTTGGACTTCTAGCATCCAGAACTGTGAGACAATGGCTTTCTGTTGTTTGTGCCACCCACTTTGTGGGTGGCAGTCCTAGGAAACTAATACAGCATCCGAAAGTGGAGACACAGGCTGGGCACTGTGGCTCATGCCTCTAATCCCAGCACTTTGGGAAGCTGAAATGGGTGGATCACATGAGGTCAGGAGTTAGAGAGCAGCCAGGCCAACATAGTGAAACCCCGTTCCTACTAAAAATATAAAAATTAGCTGGGCATGGTAACACACACCTGTGATCCCAGCTACTAGGGAGGCCAAGGCAGGAGAATTGCTTGAACCCAGGAGGCGGAGGTTGCGGTGAGCCGAAATCACATCACTGCTCTACAGCCTGGGTGACAGGGCAAGACTCCATCTCAAAAACAAAAGTAGAGACACAGAGAAAACTGCGGCACTTCTTAGCAATCTAACATCCCAGATAATACCTAGCTCAGAGGGAGGGGAGAATTTAGCCTGCCCTCCTTGCTCATTAAGGTTTTCACTTTCACTGGCTTTAGCTATTTTGTCACAGGAAGCAGCCACCTTCGGCCACAGAACTCAATTGCCTCAATTTTCTGCATAGGTGGTGGAAAGTCCTGTGTCTAGTCTCATCTGAGTCTCTCTTGCTTCTATATTGGTTCCATCTTGGAGAAGTCAGAGGTCAAAGTTTTGCAAACCATGACTCTGCCTACCTGGAAACTATCTTTTTTAGGGGTAGTTTCTCCCATACTTGCCTCCAGCCATCCTCTCTTCCTATTGAAGGGTAGCAGAGAGGAGGATTAAGACAGTAGGAAGAGGGAAAACAGTGAGGCAACTGCCCTCCAAGATACCTATTTTGTGCCGAAGACATGCGTTATGGTATTACATTCTCATGGTAACTGCATCAGGTTAAGAATTATCAGCTCCATTTTGCAGATGAGGAAAGTGGGACCTGGAGACGCTATCATTCGATTAGTGTCTAGAGCTGGGACTCTACCTGGTGGACTCCAAAGCTCTTTTCTTTCTTTCTTTCTTCTTTTTTTTTTTTTTTTTGAGACGGAGTGTCGCTCTTGTTACCCAGGCTGGAGTGCAATGGCGCTATCGTGGCTCACCACAACCTCCACCTCCTGGGTTCAAGCAATTCTCCCGCCTCAGCCTCCCAAGTAGCTGGGATTACAGGCACGCGCCACCACGCCCGGCTAATTTTTTTTTAGTAGAGGTAAGGTTTTTCCATGTTGGTCAGGCTGGTCTCGAACTACCGATCTCAGATGATCCTCTCTCCTCAGCCTCCCAAAGTGCTGGGATTACAGGCGTGAGCCACTATCCCCGGCCTCCAAAGCTCTTTTCATTCCACCATGCTGTGTGCTCAGTAGGCGGAGTTTGTCAGGGTGTCTTGGGAAAACTGAGGGAGGAAGCAAGAGTTAGTGGTGCTTTCTAGGAGTTGGGGTTTCAATCCTTGCCATCGTCTATTCTCTGCTAGCAAACTAGCCTCGCTATCTCACACTGGAGCAACTGGGCTGGGGGAGCTGCGAAATATCTCAACTCCAGCAGGCGGCACTGTGAACCAGACACCAGCCCAGCGTGGACGGTGCGCGGGAAAACCGGCGAGGTGGAGCCACAAGGAGCAGCCAGGGAACCACGTGTGTGGGCGTGGCCACCCGGTAAGAGGGCGTGTCTATTAGTCAAGCCCCACCCATCATTTCAGGCCTCCCCTCCCGGTGGGCGTGTCCCGAATTCTCTCCCCGAGAGACACGCGTGGGCCGCTCCCCTCTGGGAGGAGGGCTGCCCAGAGGGTTGCGGGTGTCGCTAGCTGCCCCTCCCCGTGCGGGGCCACGTGGCGGTGCGGGCCGAGCCCAAGGGGAAGAACCTGGCCCTTGGGGAGGTGGGGGGGACCGAAGCGGCGCTGAGCGGAGAGCTACGGGGTTTGGAGCAGAGGCGGCGGCGGCGGCGGCGGCAGCGCAGCAAGAGGGAGGGGAGGAGGCAGGCGGACGCATGGGGCGCCCCGGCCCCTCCGGCAGCGCGCCCCCTCCGGCCCGGCCGCGCTGAAAGCTCGCCAGCGCTGCGCCTCGAATCCACGCCACGGGGCCATGCCGGTCATGAAGGGGTTGCTGGCCCCGCAAAACACCTTCCTGGACACCATCGCCACCCGTTTTGACGGAACGCGTGAGTGGGACAGAGGTCGGGGCTGGGGCTTCTATCTGGGGACCAAGTCTCCTCGGGGCCGTCTCGGGTCTCCTGGACGTGGTGAGACCCGAGGCAAGAGGAGAGAATGGAGTTAAGGGTCTAGGAATTCCCAAAGCCGCGGTGCAAGAACAGGGCGGGGAGGGCCCTGCGAGGGGAGGAGGTGAAAGAGCCGAGAGCAGGGGGGCCAAGGTTAGGGGGTGTGACTCGAGGCAGAAGAGGCTGTTTGTGCGGCAGAGCTGTGGAGGGGCCTTGGGAGCCGCCCGCTCTTGGGCTGAGCTGTGCTGGGGGCGTGTTTGAGGGTATCCGAGACACAGAAGTGGGACAGAGTGGCCGGGCGTTCTGGGGTCTACTCCCAGACTCCAGCTCCCACTACCCCCAGAAAAAAAGGAGTAAAGATCAGACTTCAGCAGGACCTAGCTTGGATTGAGGTCGTATGCCCCCAAATCGTGGGGCGTCCGTGTCTTTGGTGGGTGAGGCAGGAGGAGGAGAACGGTCTGTGCAACGGTGGGAACTCCTGGCTCGCCCACCCCAGCTTGGGTTTCAGGTTCAGCACCTTGGACAGCCACAGACTCCTTCCTCGCCTCTTCTCCCGCCATTCCCTCTTCCCACTCTGGAGCCCAGAGATTCCCTGCCCTCACCTCCCCCAACCCTGCCATTCCCTCGGGAGCCCTGGCCAGGATTGGAGGGTGGGGGAGCGGTACCCGAGGGCGGAAACTGAGCCGCGGGGCCCTAACCGCCCCCCATCCCCCCCCCCCCCCCCCGCCGCCCGCCTTGTTTCCATGGCGCCCATCACCGGGGCAACAGGCCCTGGGATGGAAGAAGGAGGCTGTGCCCAGAGCCCATTGCCTCCCAGGCACCTTCAGTGTCCCCATCAGCCACTCTGCCCTCAGATAGTCATCCCTCCTAGAGCACCAAGACTGGTTGTGTCACAGGCCCCATCTCTTAGCCGTGTCTCTGTCCCTGGATGGCCCACAGGAGCCCCCCTGGCCTCTCATCCATTGGAACTGGAGGGAGACAGCTCTGGTTCTGTTGCTGGGGGGTGCTGGAGCTATATGCTTAATGCCCTCTCCTGTTAGACTTTGAGCACTGGGGCAGATCTCCTGAAAGCAGCTATAAGAATGCTAAAAAGTGGACCTTTCCTGGAAGGCAGGGAAGGATACCACTTATCACTGTCTGCCCCCATACTAAGGAGATCTGTGAGTTTGGATAATCTCTGCCTTTTGGTTTCCTATCAATAAAATGGATGTGATGTCACCAGAATCTGCCCTGCTTACTCCGTAATAGGAAGAAAGCCAAGTGAATGTGGGTGAACAATTTCACCTTCTCAGAGTAGCACTTACCATGTGCTAGGACTTGTTCTCCCCAAGTAAACTCAAGTAACTCTCACAACGACCATGTAAGGAAGGCCTATTATGCCCTACTTTCCAAATAAGGAAAGTTCAAGCACAGAAGAGGTCATTGATTTGCCCCAGGTCACAGAGTAAGTGGCAGTGGAGGGTTGCAGGAACCCAGGCTCTTACTCACCAAGCTATGCCACCTTCTACAGTGACACCAGTTGGAAGTCAGGCATGACCTCTTGGGGTCCTACTCCAACTCCCCATTAGACCCTGCTTATGTTTCTTAAGTCCTTATCTCTTTGCTCTATCTTCTCCTATTCTCAACTCAGAATATCCCAAAGTGGGGTCAGGAGCAACGTTGAAACCTGGGAAGCTTCTGACTCTGTGACCTCTAACCCCATCTTAGGGGAGGTACTGCCCACCTGGAAGCCAGCTCGACTCCCAGCCTTGACTTGACCTCTTCTTCCCACAGACAGTAACTTCCTGCTGGCCAATGCACAGGGCCCACGGGGCTTTCCCATTGTCTACTGCTCGGACGGCTTCTGCGAGCTCACAGGCTACAGTCGCACCGAGGTCATGCAGAAGACCTGCAGCTGCCGTTTCCTCTATGGCCCAGAGACCAGTGAGCCGGCCCTGCAGCGTCTGCAGAAAGCCCTGGAGGGCCACCAGGAGCACCGTGCTGAAATCTGCTTCTACCGCAAGGATGGTGAGGGGGCCCACCCCACCCTGCAGCCCTGCCTAGACCCCTGGCCTTACCCAGAGGGAGTCTGAGTGCTCCTCCCCACACTGCCACAAGCTGACTGTGACCAAGTGCATCCCTGACCCTCTCTGGGCCTGGGTTCCCCCATCTGAAAGATGAAGGAGTCGGCTGACAGAATCTCCGAGGTTCCTTTTGGCTCTTGCTTTGCCAAGCTCTTTACCTGTGTCTAGGAGGATGAGGAGAAAGTCATATCATGGGCTGCCCATGCTCCTCCCTCCCTCTCTCCATGCCTACAGGCTCCGCCTTTTGGTGCCTCCTGGACATGATGCCCATCAAGAATGAAATGGGGGAGGTCGTGCTGTTGCTGTTTTCCTTCAAGGATATCACTCAGAGTGGAAGCCCAGCACTTGGCCCCCGAGGAGGCCACAGGGACAGTAATCATGGTAACGGCAAGTCTGGACGGGCAGTGTGAATGGTCAGAAGCCCTCGCCTACCCAGCCACGTGGAATGTGCCCCAATGTATCTCCGCACCTTCCTTCCCAACAGAAAAATCCCTCGGTAGAAGAGGAGCCAGCTCAAAATTTCGGTCCGCCAGAAGACAGAGCAGTACTGTCCTACGCCGACTGACTGGCCACTTCAGCCGCCGGGGCCAGGGAGGCATGAAGTCCAATAATGTGAGTCCCACCGCCAACCCAACATCTCCCAAGTCCTCCAGACCTGATTCTGAGGCACCCCTGCCTGCCACTGTCTCCTCACTTCCCTGTCTGTCTGGTGTCCCTCCTTGGCCTGCTCCTCTGCCCACCCATTTCCCATGTACTATTCTCTGCTCCATCCTATATCCTCCCCCCACCTCCTTCCATCCCCATCTGCCTCACTCCCTTAGGTGACTGACTGACATTATTCTGCTTCAATGATGTCACAAAGGTGGGGCTCTAGCAGCAATTACCTCATCTGCCCAAAGATCATGGGGTTATGCCATGGGTGGTGAACTTGCAAGCTGCTACAGTTCCAGGGAGAAATCCCTCATTGCGGGCCTGGCATCTGGACCTGGATACCTCCCAGAATCCCGACCAAGCCAGGGGATTGAGTCCCCAACCCTCTGTTAGGGATACAGGGAATGGGGTGGGCTATGCCAGTCTCCTCTCCCTGCTGGGACATGCCCATCCCCCACTGGGCCTCCAGAACCCAAGAGGAACTTCAGGGAGAAGTTAGTGACCCCTCAAGCTGGGGCATGTGCCCGATTTGTAATAGTCTCTTTCTCAAGTAGGATGAGTGTTGGGCCAGGCACGGTGGCTCATGCCCATAATCCCAGCACTCTTGGGGGCGAAAGCAGGAGAATTGATTGAAGCCAGGAGTTCTAGACCAGCCTGGGCAACACAGTGAGACCCCTTCTCTAAAAAAAAAATTAAAAATTATCTGAGTATGGTGGTGCATGCCTGTGGTCCCAGCTACTCTGGGGGCTGAGGCAGAAGGATAGCTTGAGCCCAGGAGTTCAAGGCTGCAGTGAGTTATGATGGTGCCACTGCACTCCAGCCTGGGCAACAGAGTGAGACCTTGTTTCTAAATTTTAAAAATTTTCAATCAAATGGGGTGAGTGTCAAGCCTTATAAATGCCCCTGACAAGATATGATCGGTTCAAACAGGGGCCTGGGTCAGGGCGAAGTGGCTCACACCTGTAATCCCAGCACTTTGGGAGGCTGAGGTGGGTGGATCACCTGGCCAACATGGCAAAACCCTGTCTCTACTAAAAATACAAAAATTAGTCAGGCATGGTTGCATGTACCTGTAGTCCCAATTACTCGGGAGACTGAGGCAGGAGAATTGCTTGAACCCAGGAGGCAGAGGTTGCAGTGAGCCGAGATTGTGTCACTTCACTCCAGCCTGGGCCCAAGAGCAAGACTCTGTCTCAAAAAAAAAGGAAGGGGACCTGGGAAGTACATTGGAGAGGAGAAAAAAATGTCAGGTGTCAGCCTCTGCACCCCTCTCCTGGCCTTCTATCTCCTTTCATGGTCAAAAGTGCCCTTGCAGTGCCCACCTGCCCCCTTTCTCTATGCCCTGCCTTTCCCACCCCTCATCTTGGCTCCTCTTTCCCTCAAGTGTCCCCAACCGCCACCCCTCTCCCTTTAGAACGTGTTTGAACCAAAGCCATCAGTGCCCGAGTACAAGGTGGCCTCCGTGGGGGGGTCTCGCTGCCTCCTCCTCCACTACAGCGTCCCCAAGGCCATCTGGGACGGCCTTATCCTCCTTGCCACCTTCTACGTTGCGGTCACCGTCCCCTACAACGTCTGTTTCTTGGGTGATGACGACACCCCCATCACTTCGCGACACACCCTTGTCAGTGACATCGCCGTGGAGATGCTCTTCATCCTGGGTCAGACCCTCTGCCTCACCCACCCTGGCGGGTTGGCTGGGGGAATCCACTTGGTCAAGCTTCACCCACTCCTGGGGCCTGCATGACCCAGGCATTCAGACACCCCCTCTTTCTGCATCTTTAAGTCCCAATGGCCCATGTGTCCTGCCTTCAGGCCCCCTGCAGCCTTCAGCCTTGTGACCTGTCCTCCCCAAGGACCAGCCAGAAGCCCAATCTATCTTTCCATGCCTGCTGCCTCCTCCTCCCATCTGAGTCTCCAAAGCTTGTTCCCAGCTTTTTCTGTTTCTTGGTCCCTTGGCCAAGGCCCCCCAGTAATAGCCTCTTGCACCCCCAGATATCATCCTGAATTTCCGCACCACCTATGTGTCCCAGTCCGGCCAGGTGATCTCTGCTCCTCGTTCCATTGGCCTCCACTACCTGGCCACCTGGTTCTTCATCGACCTCATTGCTGCTCTGCCCTTTGACCTGCTTTACATCTTCAACATCACCGTGGTGAGTGACCTCCATCCCACCATCCAGCCTAACCCCCCAATCTCAGCACAGCATCTCCCAGGAAGGGACTGACCCCAAATACAGATATGCCCCTTCCCGTCACTCCATCTGCAGATACTTATCAGGCACCTGTTCTGGGCGTAGCCCTCTGCTGGGCAATGGAAGGATCCCAGAGGGTCTGTGCTCCTGGGGAGCTCAGCTCACAATCTTTGAGGGAAGCTGAGACACATGAAAAGCTAACTATGGCTACCAAGGCGGCATTGGTCTGATGCCAAATGAGTGGTACCTTCCACATTTTTATTTAACAAACAACTGATGAGCATTTAGCTGTCTGCAAAGCACTGTGTGGGGCATGGCCACCGTGGGGAAAGGGAAGAAGGACTCAGCCTCTAAACAGCTAAACTGGTGAGGGGGCAAAACTGCCGCAGAGCATCAGGGACAGAAGAGGTGAATGGGGGTGGAAGATGGGCCCCGGGTATGCTGCAGAGGCTGACCTTGGAGTTCCAGGCTGGAACATGAGTGTGTGTAAAAATGATCTGAAGTCTGGCCAGCAGCTGGGAAGCAAAAGTGCCCTTGTTAGGCAGAGGCTGGAGGGGTCTGGGAAGGCTTCCTGAGGGAGATGGCAGGAGTACAGCTAGACCTTCAAGGGTGAGTAGGATTTAGCTGGCAGGAGATAAGGACAGTGAGCATTTTGGGGAGGATAGTAACCCTAGACAAGAAGGTAGAGGCTGTGGGGTGGATTCAGAGGCAGAGAATGCCAGGACCTGGGTTCTCACAGATCCCTGGGGATACGCTGGAGGTGCCCTGAGTAGTCATCCCTGGCCCCAGCCAGCAGAGAGTAGGTCTTCTCAAGTCCAGGGTGGGGCAGTGCTACCCCGTGTCCCCAGTCCCCCTTGGGTGTGGGACGGGGAAATGGGGAGCAGTTTCCTTGTGTGCTCTCTCCCTGCACTCAGCTATAGCAGGAAACCACCTACACGTAGCCGAATTTAACTAGCCGCCAACGGGCTGTGGGCCTCCTCTCCTGGCTGTGCACACGTGTGTGTGCGCTCCCATACACGTGCATGTGTGTACATCTGCCTCGAGGCTCTGACCATTCTGAGCTGACCTCCCCACCCCTCCCCAGGAGTGTCCCCACTCCTCTATGCCCATCAGGCACCATCAGCTGGGGAGTGGGAGACTGCAGAGAGCCCCCTGCCCCTCCTCCCAGGGACCTTTGGGAGCACATTACAGTTCCCTACGTTCTTTCACACACATCATCATGTGGGAGCTCCACGAGAACCCTTCAGGGCAGATCCTTATCCTTTTTCAGAGGTAGGTATAGGGCTCAGAGAAGTTCAGTGACTTGCTAAACGTCACATAGCTAGCAGGGGCAGGCAGGAGATTTGAACCAGCTCTCTAAACTTCCAGCCTAGTATTTTTTCCAACATACCACCCTGCTTCCCAGATAATTAGGGCCTCTGAGTGGATGATCTGGTGAAATGAGGAACACCACTGGGGACCACAGACAGGAAGGGCAGAGACAGAAAATGAGTAGGCACTGGCAGAGGCAGACTTGAAGGAGCCATTTCTGGATATTCTAGTCCAAGGAGGATGAGAGGAGCATCCCCAGGAGAGGGGGGCCCAAAGGCGGCCAGCTGAGGGAGCTCTGAAGAGTTCAAGCTTGCAGTCAGGAGCTCTGGGACCTGGGGCAGGCATTAAACCCTGGCAAGGGTACATGTGGAGGAATCAGAGTCACCTCCTTTCCAGTACCTTCACCTAAAATTAGAGAAAAATTACACAAGGTGGTCCAGGAGCAGTGTAGGGCCAGCCAGGGCTGTGGGGAATGCTCTCCGAGGCCCAAGAAGGGGCAGTGAGGGGGTTTCATACCAAGTTCCTCAGGCACGGCCCTAGAGCCTCCAGTCCTAGCTGCCACACTGCCCCCACTCAGAAGATAAGCCCTCCCCAGCTCCAAGATTGAAGGGCTGATCAATACTGATAACCACAATACAGATGGTACTGGGAGTAATATTAGTGAATACAGGACACTTACTAGGTCCCATTAGCTCCATCAACCCTTAGCACAGCCCAGGCTCCCTCAGTCCCTGTTCTCCCGCCCCCTCAACTCTTCCACTTGACTCTCATCTGCAGTCCATCCACAAGAGGAAGTGTCCCAAAACCTTCCCCAGCCCTCAAGTCCTTGCCTTCCCCCCCTCCACTATGCTTCTCCATGTCTCGAAGGGTGGTCCCCATCACAATTGCTGTCATTGCTACCGGGGCTCTGTGGAGACGATTATCTATCCCTTGACTCTGACCAAGGCTGGCTCCTCCACCATCTCCCAGTGCTTCGTGGCTATAGAGCACCAGGTGAACTGTGATGTCAGTTAGCCCAGATGCCCACCCTGAGTCCCAGCTCTACCATGTCCTTGGTCTGTGACCTTGAACAAGTCATTAGCCTCTCTGAGCCTTAGTTCATTCATTTGCAAATTGGGAATGATGATGATAATTGAACTAAAGGTATAAATGTGTGTGTGTGTGTATTTTTAAATAAGGATTACAAATGTTTAGCACAGTGCCTGGCTAAGCACATAGAAAGTACTTACTGGCAGGATGAGGTGGCTCACACCTGTTATCCCAGCACTTTGGGAGACCGAAGCAGGTGGATCATGAGGTCAGGAGTTTGAGACCAGCCTGGCCAAGATGGTGAAACCCTGTCTCTGCTAAAAAAAATACAAAAATTAGCTGGGCGCAGTGCCAGGCACCTATAATCCCAGCTACTTGGGAGGCTGAGGCAGGAGAATTGCTTGAACCCAGGAGGCAGAAGTGCAGACAGCTGAGATTGCACCACTGCACTCTAGCCTGGGCGATGGAGCAAGACGTCATCTCCAAAAACATAATAAAGAAAAAAGAAAGTACTTACTAACTGTTAGCCACTGTTTTATTGTTATTATTCCTTTCCTGCTGTGTTCCCTGGCCACTTTCTCAGGACAGCAGGGATGGCTTTCCTGTGGTTGCCTCCCTTGGCTCCAGGGTGTCTGGTGGGAAGGGCCTGGGAGGGGACTCTAAGCGCTCTGAGGAGGTGTGCCTGCTGACAGCCTCCCCCGCCACCCTCCCGCAGACCTCGCTGGTGCACCTGCTGAAGACGGTGCGGCTGCTGCGCCTGCTACGGCTGCTGCAGAAGCTGGAGCGGTACTCTCAGTGCAGCGCGGTGGTGCTCACGCTGCTCATGTCGGTCTTTGCGCTCCTTGCCCACTGGATGGCCTGCATCTGGTATGTCATCGGGCGCCGGGAGATGGAGGCCAATGACCCGCTGCTCTGGGACATTGGTGAGCCACTGACCCCAGACTTTCAGAGACCACCTGTCCACCTGTCCCATCCCCAAGCGGATGCCTCCACCAGTGCCCATACCCCTCGCCCCACATTCCTCCATTCACCCAACAAACATGCATTGAGCTCTTTCTGGATCAAGCATGGGAATATGGATTTGCAGACCAGGGCTCTGTTTTGGGTCGCAGGTGGGGAGGAACTCACAGCCTAGCAGGGGAGCAAAACCAGTGATAGTGATCAAAGTACAATGTAGGAAACACTGAGGGTGGAGGGGTGTGTTTCAGGCAGAAGGCGCAGCACGTGAAAAGTCCCAGAAAGAGCTTGGCATCTCTGCCCCCATCAATCCCTCCTTCTCTAGGGTTCATGGCCATGGGCCAGGAGATAGCCCCAGGCCCTTGGTATCCCCCTGAAAAGCCAGTCAGATCCTGGGCATGGTCCCTGACACCTCCTTCTCCTCCACCCCACAGCTAGCCCACCATATCAATCCCACCTCTCAAATGTCCCTTGAATCTGGCCTTTTCTCTCCATCCTCTCTGCCCCTTCCCAGTCCACTCCACCTCCCTTTCTCACCCAGTCCTGTGCAATAGCCCCTTACTGATCTCACAACCCCTTTCTCATCCTCCCCACAACCACTCTCCTGACCACAGCCAAATGGGTGTTCCAAGATTCAACGCTGACCTGCCACACTCCTGCTGGGATTCTGTTAGTGGCTTCCCACTGCCCTCCAAATGAAATCCATACTCAGTGCATGCCCTGGGTGGCCCTGTGCCCCCTGTCCCCACCTGCCTTCCTGTTCTCCCATGCTCCCTGCACTGCAGCCACAGCAGCCTCTTCCCTGGACCCAGGACATACTGCGTTCTCACACTGAGCCTGACCATGTCATTTTCCTCTCTGGAATCCTTCCTTGTTTGTCTTCCCTCTCCTCCTAGATGGCTTCTCTGTTCCTTGCCTCATTAGGAACCAACGTTCCATTGGTTCCGTTTGTCTCAACCAAAATGTCCTGTCCTAAGGAGCATCCCTTCCAGACACCGTGTCCCCAACCCCCCAAATGCCAATGGGTTGGCTCTCCCTAACCTGTTAGGATTCCTAACATACCCTATACAATACTCTACTTCTGGGAACTCACCTCCCACCTGTAATGATTTATGTCATGTCTCTTTCCCCTCCAGGTTATAGGTTTCACCAAGGCAGGGAGAGTGTTTGGCTGAGTCAATTCCCCAACACTTTGTATACAGCAGGGGCACAATAAACTATGAGGAAGTTTCAGGAGCCTTTGAACAGTCAGCAGTGTAGTGAGTTAGCGGCCTTGAACTGCAACTGTAACCATTGCACCATGCGGGGGCCCCGGTGCAGGCCACTCCTCACATTTCCTGTGCCAACCCGTGCATAAATACTTGCCTAAGGTCAAGGGCAGGCGGCTCAGGGAAACCTGGTCCTCCACCGCTGGCACAGCCAGGGCTTCCTACATCCATCCACCTGCAGGCTGGTTGCATGAGCTGGGCAAGCGTCTGGAGGTGCCCTACGTAAATGGCTCAGTGGGCGGCCCATCAAGGCGCAGCGCCTACATCGCAGCACTGTACTTCACTCTAAGCAGCCTCACCAGCGTGGGCTTTGGCAACGTGTGCGCCAACACCGATGCGGAGAAGATCTTCTCCATCTGCACGATGCTCATAGGCGGTGAGGCCAGACCTGCCATGCCTCAGTGGGGCCCTGCGAAGCCCAGTGTGCACGGGGACACTGAGGCCCAGAGAGGGAAAGGCATCGGCCTGAGGTGTCTCCCCAAGTCCAGTCATGCATCCATTCCTGGATGTTTCCTGAGTGCTCACTATATGCTGGCCCTGGGGATGCCACAGACAGGTGTCGCCTCTTGCAAAGGGGATGGGAAACCCAGGTTTATGACCTAATGGTGGGGAAGCCTGAGAGGAGCAGGGGGTGTTACCCGTCTCTGGACTACTCCCTATTTCCCACCCCTAGTCTAGTGCCTGGCACCCAGTAGGCACGCAAGAGCCCTCTGGCTCTTGGTCAGAAACAGGGTGGGTTTGGGAGCTGGGGAAGTGGCCGGAGGGGTGGCCGCCCCTGACCGCTGCTGCCGCTGCAGCCCTAATGCACGCCGTGGTGTTCGGGAACGTGACGGCCATCATCCAGCGCATGTACTCGCGCCGCTCACTCTACCACAGCCGCATGAAGGACCTCAAGGACTTCATCCGTGTGCACCGCCTGCCAAGGCCACTCAAGCAGCGCATGCTCGAGTACTTCCAGACCACGTGGGCTGTCAACAGCGGCATTGACGCCAACGAGGTAGTGCGCACAGGCTCCCGTCTTGCCCTCGCCCTCTGAGTGGCCCTGCAGTGGGGTGGAGAAGGGGTTGCTGCCCCTCTGGCTTAAAGTGGAGGCAGGCCGGGTATGGTGGCTCAGGCCTGTAATCCCAGCACTTTGGGAGGCCGGGGCGGGTGAATCACTTGAGGTCAGGAGTTGAAGACCAGCCTAGGGAACATGGTGAAACCCTGTCTCTGCTAAAAATATGAAAATTAGCCGGCTGTGGTGGTGCACGCATATAATACCAGCTACTCAGGAGGCTGAGGCATGAGAATCACTTGAACCAGGGAGGCAGAGGCTGGGGTGGGCCAAGATTGGACAACTGCACTCCAGTCTGGGTTACAGAGCTAGACTTTGTCTCAAAATAAAATAAAATAGAGGCAAACAGGGCCCAGGGGGTGAGATGTTCACAAGGTCACACATTCACCCAAAATACAAATTCTTGTTTCTTTGCACTTGAATATGGGAATGAAAGAGCTCGGGGCCCAGCTGACGCCATCCTCTCTTCTGCCAACATTTCCTGAGTGCCTGCTTTGGGCCAGCCTTGATGCTAGACACAGGGAGCTTAGAGATGACACTCAGCCCTGGCCTGGCCCTCAGGGAGACCCAGAATGATGACAGAGGGAGACAAATGAACAGGGAGTGCGGCAGTGAATGGGGCTGTAAAGGAGGGATGCTGGTGCTGTCTGGTCCTCATTGTGCCTGGGCGGGAGGAGTCAAGGAAGGTGGCATAGCAGAAGGGACATCGCAAAGGACAAGAAGGAAATCAGCCTGCTATAGGAAGGCCATCCCAGGTAGAAAGGGCCATAGGGACACAGGTCTAGAAGTGATGCTACAACAGAGCAGAGTGGGGGTCGGGTGCGGTGGCTCACGCCTGTAATCCCAGCACTTTGGGAGGCTGAGGCAGGTGGATCACCTAAGGTTGGAAGTTCAAGACCAGCCTGGCTAACATGGTGAAACCCCGTTTCTACTAAAAATACAAAAAATTAGCTGGGCGTGGTGACGTGTGCCTGTAATCCCAGCTACTCAGGAGGCTGAGGCAGGAGAATTGCTTGAACCAAGGAGGCAGAGGTTGCAGTGAGACGAGATCTTGCCACTGCACTCCAGCCTGGGTGACAAGAGTGAAACTCCGTCTCAAAAAAAAAAAAGAGCAGAGTGAGTGCCTTAGGGAATGAAAAGTGGTTTGGTAAGCCTGCAGGAATGGTCGTGCGTGTGCTGCCTAGGGAGAAGGCAGGGCAGGAGGGCACGATGCCCAGCCCGGGGATGGCCTGAAATTTAGATTTTATCCTGTGTAATGTTTAGGCTGGGGAGTAGCATGGGGATCTGGGAGGGAAGGGATCGGTGAGATATCTCTGAGGATGGGATCTGCTGGTTGCAGGAGAGGAGCTCAGAGTGACTCCCAGGTTTCTGGCTTAGGCCAATGGTGGGGATGGAGGCATAACAGGAGGGAGATGGGGCTTCTGGATGAAGGTGAGAGTCCTAGGTCAACTTAAGAGAAGGCTATGGTGCCTGGAGGAGGTCCAGAGGAAGGTTGCCTAGTAGGTAGATGGGAATCAGGCCTCAGCCAGGTGTGGTGGCTCATGCCTATAATCCCAGCACTTTGGGAGGCTGAGGCGGGCAGGTCACGTGAGGTTGGGAGTTTGAGAGCAGCCCGGCCAACATGGTGAAACCCTGTCTACTAAAAATACAAAATTTGCTGGGTGTGGTGGTAGGTGCCTGTAATCCCAGCTACTTGGGAGGCTGAGGCAGGAGAATTGCTTGAACCTGGGAGGTGGAGGGTGCAGTGAGCTGAGATCGCGCCCTTGCACTTCAGCCTGGGCAACAAGAGCAAAAAACTCCATCTCAAAAAAAAAAAGGAGGTAATTGGTAGCACCCAAGATCTAGTACAACTCTGCATCTTACAGGCTGAGATGCAGACGGATACTGAGGCCCAGCAAGCAGAAATGCGTTGCCCAATGCCCACAGGGACTTAAGAGTGGAGCTGACTTCTGGTCTCCTGACTCCCAGTTGAAGGCTGACCCCCAAGGGATGGCTCTTGAATGATGGGGTTGAGTGACAGCAGGTAGCCATAGGCAGGGAACTGATGGGAGACGTCCTGGTCTCTGCCCCTGGAATCCGGTTTTGAGGTTCACACAGCAAGCAAAATTGAGATTAGACACAGAGGTTGTCCTGAAGGTCTGGAATGGGTGATCTCAAAGCAAGGGCAAGCGAAATTCTCTCTTTGAAGACAGCTAAGCACATTTGTAGACTCAAGTAGTAGCTGCAGGGGGATGGCCAGAATGACCTATGCCCCTTATGCAGTTACTGCGTGACTTCCCAGACGAGCTGAGAGCTGACATTGCTATGCACCTGAATCGGGAGATCCTGCAGCTGCCGCTGTTTGGAGCGGCGAGCAGGGGCTGCCTGCGAGCCCTGTCGCTGCACATCAAGACCTCGTTCTGTGCTCCGGGAGAGTACCTGCTGCGCCGTGGGGATGCCCTGCAGGCACACTACTATGTCTGCTCCGGCTCACTTGAGGTGCTCCGAGACAACATGGTGCTGGCCATCCTGGGTGAGAACTCCATCAGCCCCCACTACCTACCCCAGTACCACCTGCCCCCACCTCCCCTTGAGGACTTGGGAATGGCCAGGATTCTAGGGAATGGGATACCCCTCATGGTTACTTACAGTTCCTGCTGAGAAGTACTCTCTCTTGGTCCCTTCTCCCTATGACCATCCCCTTTTGACAAATCCCCTCTGATTCTCCCCTAATCCCCTTGGCTGTCCCTCAACTCATCAACCCTTCCCGGTGATTGTCCTCCAGCGCAGCTGCTCCTTTCCCATTGCTCCACTTCCCAGCTCCCTTGACCTTTCCCCAGTGACCTTAAACTCCATTCACCTTTACCCTCTAATTGACCTGATCCCTTCAGCCATGGCTGATTGTTATCATCCAATTCCATTGACCGTTCCTCTAGCCCTACTCACTCTCACTGTCTCCCAACCTCACCAGTCATTCTCCGCTGACCTTCTGCTAACTCTGTCGATTATTTCCACCAATCCCATTGACTGGCCCATCCTTCAAATGCACTGACCACTCCTTAAATCCACTGACCACCTCCAGCTGATATCCTTTTGTTCATACTGCCCCGGCTGACTGTCCCCATCCCTTATCCACAGGGAAGGGGGACCTGATTGGAGCAGATATCCCTGAGCCAGGGCAGGAGACTGGGTCAGGGGCAGACCCAAGCTTCGTGCTGAAGACCAGCGCTGATGTGAAAGCTCTGACCTACTGCGGCCTGCAGCAGCTGAGCAGCCAAGGGCTGGCTGAGGTCCTGAGGCTCTATCCTGAGTACGGGGCTGCCCTCCGGGCCAGCCTGCCCCGGGACCTCACCTTCAACCTGCGCCAGGGCTCTGACACCAGTGTATGTATACCCCTGATGGCCGTCACCCTTCCAGAGTCCCCTCCTCCAAAGCAGACTTCCCAGCCTGAGAGTCTTGTGTACCTCCCTCCACCCTAAAAACATCATGCCTGAAGTCCAGGCACCCTCGTCCATTGCCCCTTACATGCTTCCAGCCCCACTGACTCTACACTGGCCATCACCCAATCCCCTGGCCATCTCTCATCGCTGTCTACTTCCAACTCTACTGCCCCATCTTCTGCTGGCCACCCATCAGCCTCACTCCAGACTCCTTCAAAGGAACCTCCCTTTTTTTTTTTTTTTTTTTTTGAAAGAGTCTCACTCTGTTGCCCAGGCTGGAGTGCAGTGGCATGATCTCGGCTCACTGCAACCTCTGCCTCTCGAGTTTAAGCAATTCTCCTGCCTCAGCCTCTTGAGTAGCTGGGATTACAGGCATGCACCACCATGCCTGGATAATTTTTGTATTTTTAGTAGAGATGGGGTTTCTCCATGTTGGTCAGGCTGGTCTTGAACTCCCAATCTCAAGTGATCTACCTGCCTTGGCCTCCCAAAGTTCTGGGATTATAGGTATGAGCCACATGTCTGGCCAGGACCCTCCCTTTGGAAACAACCCCTTCATGTGCTTCTCTTTCAAGCCCCTCTGGACCGGGCATCATCCCCTGGGGCTTCCTCTTCTCTCACCAAATGTCTCCTGAGCCCACTTTGTTTTGGGCTCTGGACCAGGCCTGTACATTACCCCTTGGGCCTTGGTCTTTTGCTGCTTTTCAGTCTCACTTTGCTGTGCAGTGTTTGGTAGCACCCAAGCTCTAGTACAACTGCATTTTACAGACTGAGATACAGACTGGGATACTGAGGCCCAGCGAGAAGAAATGGGTTGCCCAAGGCCCACAGGGACTTAGGAGCAGAGCTGACTCCTGGTCCCCCTTCTCCCAGTTGAAGGCTGACCCCTAAGGGATGGCTCTACACCTCTAACTCTTGTTTGAGTTAGAGTTGTAGTTTCTGACTCAGTTCCCCAGAAGACTCTACGTTCTCAACCCTGTAACACTGTTGGGTGGGACTGCAGGGGCTGTGCTAGGGCCGTGGGGAGGCGGGAGTGGGCTTGAACTCTCCTCTGTCCTCACAGGGCCTCAGCCGCTTTTCCCGATCCCCTCGCCTCACCCAGGTAACACCCACTTCCTAGGTGGGGTTGAATTGCCCCGGGGAGAGAGTGAGTTGGGGAGCAGCGTCCCCCTTTCCGTGGATGGGAAGCTGTACCCGCTGGTGAAGGCTCTTACTTAATGAAGGGGTCTGTTGTTCACTGTCCTGAAACATCAGCTGCTCCCTCTGCCCACAGCCCTGCTCAGAAAGCCTCGGCTCCTCCTCAGACAAGACGCTGACATCCATCACGGAGGCTGAGAGTGGCACGGAGCCTGGGGGTGGTCCCAGGCCCCGACGGCCCCTCCTGCTGCCCAACCTCAGCCCAGCACGGCCTCGGGGCTCCCTGGTCAGCCTTTTGGGCGAGGAGCTGCCCCCATTCTCGGCCCTTGTCTCCTCTTCTTCCTTATCACCATCCCCGTCCCCTGCCCTGGCTGGCCAGGGCCACAGCCCCTCCCCTCACGGCCCTCCCAGGTGCTCTGCTGCCTGGAAGCCCCCTCAGCTTCTCATTCCCCCACTGGGAACCTTTGGACCTCCGGACCTCAGTCCCCGGTGAGACGCCAGCCTCCCCTGCCATCCCCAAACCCTCACTGGCTTCCAGAATCTTCTCTGGGCTCTATCCCCAGCGTTCCAAACAGTGTTTCATCCTGTCTCCGCCCATGTGCCCGCTGCACCCTTCCAACCACAGCTTGCAACTCCAGCCCACTTTGACCACTGCTCTTGCTTCACCCCCTGGCACTGCTCCCCCAGTCCCCCTCTGCCTGCTCTGCTCTGGCCCTTACCCTCACCTCACGGTGCTGATGAGCACTGCCCTGTCCCTAGGATAGTGGATGGCATTGAGGACTCTGGCAGCACAGCTGAGGCCCCTTCATTCCGGTTCAGCAGGAGGCCTGAGCTGCCAAGGCCCCGCTCCCAGGCGCCCCCTACAGGTAAGGACCAACAATGGATTTGAACTCCATTATCCATCTGCCCATACACCTGTATGTCCACCTGTCCATCCATCCCACATGTTGTAGGGGCCTAGCATGTGCCAGGTGCCATTCTGGGAATACATAGATAAAACAGACCCAGCCCGCTCTCTTGGCATGAGTCTAGCAGGGAGACACCTCTGTACACAGATAAACAATTCCAGATGCTAAATAACAGACAAGAACAGGACTCCGTAGTGGAAGAGGAAGGTGCCCACTAGACCCAGGGCACCTTCCTAGAAGAGAGGCGGGGATACTTGGACTAAGTCTCAGTCTGTCGCCCAGGCTGGAGTGCAGTGGCATAATCTCAGCTCGCTGCAACCTCTGCCTCCTGGGTTCAAGCGATTCTCCCACCTCAGCCTCCCAAGTAGCTGTGCCACCATGCTCAGCTAATTTTTCTTTTCTTTTCTTTTCTTTTTTTGAGACAGAGTTTCGCCCTTGTAACCCAGGCTGGAGTGCAATGGCGCGATCTCAGCTCACCGCAACCTTCGCCTCCTGGGTTCAGGCAATTCTCCTGCCTCAGCCTCCTGAGTAGCTGGGATTACAGGCATGTGCCACCATGCCCAGCTAATTTTTTTTGTATTTTTAGTAGAGACGGGGTTTCACCATGTTGACCAGGATGGTCTCGATCTCTTGACCTCGTGATCCACTGCCTCGGCCTCCCAAAGTGCTGGGATTACAGGCTTGAGCCACCGCTCCCGGCTAATTGTTCATATTTTTAGTAGAGACGAAGTTTCGCCATGTTAGCCAGGATGGTCTCAATCTCCAGATCTCGTGATGTGCCTGCCTCGGCCTCTCAAAGTGCTGGGATTACAGGTGTGAGTCACTGCGCCCAGCCTTGGGTTGCTTCTTAGGGGATGGGTGGGATCTTGAAGGGTGGAGCAAAACAGTTACTGAGCTGGGCGTGGTGGCTCATGCCTGTAATCTCAGCACTTTGGGAGGCCAAGGAGGGTGGATCGATCGCTTGAGGTCAGGAGTGCGAGATCAGCCTGGCCAATATGGTGAAACCCATCTGTACTAAAAATACAAAACTTAGCCAGGCATGGTGGTGCATGCCTGTAATCCCAGCTACTCAGGAGGCTCAGCAGGAGAATTGCTTGAACCCGAGAGGTGGAGGTTGCAGTGAGCTGAGAGCATACTGCTGTACTCCACCCTGGACAACAGAGCGAGACTCTGTCTCAAAAATAAATAAATAAATAGAGAAGTTGTTGAAAGGCATGAAAACCAAAGAGATGTTGTGTTCAGACTCCGAAGAGAAACTCCGTACCAAGATGGGGTGAGGGGGCAGGATGAGACTGGGGAGTTACAGGGGTCTCAAAACCAGGCTAAGGGGTTCAACCTTCCATCTCACAGACCCTAGAGCTTTGTCTCCCCCTGCTCTCCGCCTTCCCAGAGACAGGAGGGTTCCAGCCCAAGTCATAGGCTTAGGTATTCATGCTCCATGAACTCACCTGCATCTCTTCACCCTGCAGGAACCAGGCCCAGCTCAGAATTGGCCAGTGAGGCCGAGGAGGTGAAGGAAAAGGTTTGCCGGCTGAACCAGGAGGTGGGTTGGGGCTGGCTCAGAGATGTGCCTGATATAAGAGCATTTCAGGCCCAGCACAGTGGCTCACTTGATGTCAGAAATTCCGGGACCAGCCTGGCCAACATAAGGAAACCCCATCTCTACCAAAAATACAAAAATTAGATAGGCACCTGTAGTCCTAGGTACTTGGGAGGCTGAGGCAGGAGAATCACTTGAACCTGGGAGGTGGAGGCCACAGTGAGCTGAGGTTGCGTCAGGTACTCCTGCCTCGGCAACAGCATGAGACTCCCTCTTAAAAAAAAAAAAAAAAAAGCATTTCAGATTCTGGAGCCAGAGACTGGAATTGATATATTCATGCTAGGCCGGGCATGGTAGCTCACATCTGTAATCCCAGCACTTTGGGAGGCCGAGGTTGGGGGCGGGGGGGGATCACCTGAGTTTGGGAGTTCGAGACCAGCCTGACCAACATGGAGAAACCCCATCTCTGCTAAAAATACAAAATTAGTCAGGCATGGTGGTGCATGCATGCCTGTAGTCCCAGCTACTCAGGAGGCTGAGGCAGGAAAATTGCTTGAACCTGGGAGGCAGAGGTTGCCGTGAACCAAGATCGCACCATTGCACTCCAGCCTGGGCAACAAGAGCCAACCGCTGTCTCAAAAAAAAAAAAAAAAAAAAAAAAAAATTCATGCTAGCTAGATGACCTTGAGCAAGTCCCACAACCACTCTGAACTTAAACTTCCTCATCTAAAATGGGGAAAATAGTAGTATGTACTTCCTGGAGTTTTGAGGATGAAATGAGAACACGTGTGCCTGATCCAGTCCCTAGACCATCATAGGCACTCAGTACGAGTTGTGTTCCCTTCCTCCCCGACTGGCTGAGGTTTCCCAGCCTGATAAGAGGATTTCTTCTCCCTCTACCACTGGGAGTGTCTCCTGCCCAGGCCCCTTTCCCTTGCCCCAGCCATGGGTAATGAGTGCTAAGCAAATGTGGGGGCAGAGGACAGGGAGGCTGAGAGGCCTTCAAGCCTTGGAGACCTGGATCCAGATGCGCCTATAATCCCAGCACTTTGGGAGGCTGAGGCAGGCAGATCACAAGGTCAGGAGATCGAGATCATCCTGGCTAACATGGTGAAACCCTGTCTCTACTAAAAATACAAAAAATTAGGCAGGTGTGGTGGCACATCCTTATAGTCCCAGCTACTTGGGAGGGTGAGGCAGGAGAATTGCTTGAACCTGGGAGGCGGAGGTTGCAGGGGGCTGAGATTGTGCCACTGCACTCCAGCCTGGGTGAAGAGCGAGACTCTATCTCAAAAAGCAAACAAAAACAGATGTCTGAATTGTGTTCAGGAAGAGTCTGGATCCTATAGGCTGAGCCTCTGCCTCTGCCTCTGCCTCCTCCCGGAGGGATTTCAGACTTGTCACCACAGAGCAACCAGGCCCAGCCCCTGGGAGCCGGCTCTCCCTGTGTTCTCATAAACATCAGGTATCCCAGAGGGGTGGCACCTGAGCTGGTTCAGGCCCTGGAGCCTGGGTGGGGCTGGCACATGTTGAGCAAGCTTAAGGGCCTGTCTGCTCAAGGCCTGGGGCTTCCTCAGTTCTAGGCCAGTGTTTAGCAAACAAGTATCTATTAGAACTACCTGACAACCTATTAAGGGCAGACTTCTGAGCCTCTCAGGATTTGTAATGTCTGGGGTGGGGCCCAGAAATGTGCATTTTTAAAAGTTTCTCAGTTGATTCTATACTCCCTGAAGTTTGAAAAGCTCTGATAGAGACCCTTGAGCCTGTGTGATGTAATTGACTCAGAATAAGGCTGTGCCTTCACAGATGTATGGCCTCTTGGAGCATTTTTCGACATCTTGGAAGAGCTCATGCATATGTGTGTGTTGGGGGGAGGGGGGCGGGGATAGCAATATCTGCTGCCCCAAATCCTTTGTAGAAGGAGACTGAGGCATTTTACATGTAGGCAAAAAGAACCCTCGTCCTGCTTTCTTCCCAGGGTGGCCATGAGCAGAAAGTGGCTGTGAAAGAGCTTTGTGAACTGGAGCGGGGGGTGCACCTGGCTATTACTGTGGCACCTGTGAAACAACTCAATGTGTTTTCAACAGATCTGTCGTCTCAATCAGGAGGTGTCTCAGCTTAGCCGGGAGCTGCGGCATATCATGGGCCTGCTGCAGGCCAGGCTGGGTCCTCCTGGCCAAGCAGCAGGCCCTGCTTGGACCCCAGAACCTCCTTGTCCACATCTGAGGCCACCTTGCCTCTCTCCTTGTGCGTCCAGATCACCACCCAGCCTCCAGGATACTACGCGTGCTGAAGTTCACCCCCCAGCCAGTATGGGGACCATGGAGACAGGAACTGCACCCCTGGACTCGAGACCTTCCATATTGCTTCCCTACCCCGCAGAACCTGACCCTCTGGGACCCTCTCCAATGCCAGAGGCCTCACCCTCAACCCCAAGCCTCATGAGGCATAGTTTCCAGTCCAGGTCAGACACGTTCCACTGACCCTGGCCCAGGGCCCAGGCCTGTCAGGGGTGGGCGCTGCTGCTCACCATTCTGGGAGGACCTGGGCCCCTTGGCCTCCTGCCTTAGGGGTCAGCAGCCACCAGCTGGCATGGTTGGCTCTGGATTTCTGGACTTATTAACCAAGCCTGGTTACCTCTGATGCTATTCCCTTTTCAAAGCCTTCCCCAGCCTCCCCCTCTGTGAGGGGAGCCACCTGATGGTCATGGAACCCAGCAGGCATGAGACGAACTGCAGTGCCCATTGGACTGGGCAGATGAGATCCTACTTTCTCCCCAGGACCTGGAGGCAGGTAGAGATGGGGAGCAGAGGGGACGGGCAAGGGACCCATCTCCAGCCTAGGACATGAAGGCAAGACCAGGCAGGATCATAGCAAGTGAGACAGGTTGCAGGATTTAGCCTGGAGATAGCTTAGTGATATTGTGGGGTCTTCTGTCTCAGCCCCTGGGTCTCTGCTGAAGACCCTAAGAGCAATGTTACTGCCCGGGTGCGGTGGCTCTCACCCGTAATCCCAACACTTTGGGAGGCCGAGGCGGGTGGATCACCTGAGGTTGGGAGTTCAAGACCAGCTTGACCAACATGGGGAAACCCCATCTCTATTAAAAATACAGAGTTAGCCAGGTGTGGTGGTGCATGCCTATAATCCCAGCCACTCAGGAGGCTGAGGCAGGAGAACCACTTGAACCTGGGAGGCAGAGGTTGTGGTGAGCTGAGATCGCTCCATTGCACTCCAGCCAGGGCAACAAGAGCAAAACTCCATTTCAAAAAAAAAAAAAAATTAGCCAGGCATGGTGGCGCACGCCTATAGTTCCAGCTACTCTCGAGGCTGAGGCAGGAGAATCACTTGAACCCAGGAGGCAGGGGTTACATAGATTGCACCACTGTACTCCAGCCTGGATGACAGAGCAAGACTCCATCTCAAAAAAAGAAAAAGAAAAAAAAAGAGAGAGAGGTTATATAGGAATCCAGATATTCCAGTTTCTCTAAAAAATGTAGCACTGGACATAGTCGCTTATCCCTGTAATGCCAGCACTTTGGGTGGGAGAGGTGGGAGAATCGATTGAGCCCATGAGTTCGAGAGCTGCTTGGGCAACATAGTGAGACCCCGTCTCTATAAAAATATTTTTTGGGCCGGGCATGGTGGCTCACGCCTGTAATCCCAGCACTTTGGGAGGCCAAGGCAGGCTGATCACCTGAGGTCAGGAGTTCGAGACCAGCCTGACCAACATGGAGAAACCCCATCTCTACTGAAAATACAAAATTAGCTGGGCATGGTGGCACATGCCTGTAATCCAAGCTACTTGGGAGGATGAGGCAGGAGAATCGCTTGAACTCGGGAGGTGGAGGTTGTGGTGAATCGAGATTGTGCCATTGCACTCCAGCCTGGGCAACAGGAGCAAAACTTCATCTAAAAAAAAAACAAAAAAACTTTTTTGCCAGACGTGGTGGCTCACTCCCAGCACTTTGGGAGGCTGAAGCGGGTGGATCACAAGGTCAGGAGTTCAAGACCACCCTGGCCAAGATGGTGAAACCCCATCTTTATTTTAAAAAAAAGAGAGAGGGCCGGGTGCGGTGGCTCACACCTATAATCCCAGCATTTTGGGAGGCCAAGGTGGGTGGATCACAAGGTCAAGAGATCGAGACCATCCTGGTCAACATGGTGAAGCCCCGTCTCTACTAAAGATACAAAAATTAGCTGGGCGTGGTGGTGCGTGCCTGTAGTCCCAGCTACTTGGGAGGCTGAGGCAGGAGAATTGCTTGAACCCAGGAGGCGGATGTTGCGGCGAGCCAAGATTGTGCCATTGCACTCTAGTCTGGGTAACAATAGTGAAACTCCATCTCAAAAAAAAAAAAAAAGAAAAAAAAAGAGAGAGAAAAAAAATTTTTTTTTAAAAATTAGCCAGGTGTAGTGGTGCATGCCTGTGGTTCCAGCTACTTCAGAAGCTGAAGTGGGAGAATGACTTGAACCCAGCCTGGGCAACATAGCAAGACCCCCCCGACCTCCGCCATGCCCCAACTCTATAAAAATAAAAAATTAGCCAGGTGTAGTGGTGTGTGTCTGTGGTCCCAGCTACTCCGGAGGCTGAGGTGGGAGGATCACTTGAGCCCAGGAGGTTGAGGCTGCAGCGAGCATTGATCACACCACTGCATTCCAGCCTGGGTGATAGTGATACTCTGTCTCAAAAACAAAAAACCCAGGACATCTGGCTACCATGGGCCAACATTCCATCTGGCAATAATTGAAATCAGCAGGGGCGAAGAGGTGGCCACTGTCCTCCTTAATGGAATCTGCTCTGCGCCCTACTTCGCAGTCACCACTTGCGGTCAAGGGTTTCATGATCATCTCCCGACACCCGGCTAGATTCCCTCGTTTGAAACTTTTGTCTGCTCTCTGTAGGTATTTGAGTTCCCAAAACTTGAGTGTCCATCAGAACTACCTGAGATCCCATTAAAATGTAGATTCTGCCAGGATGGTGGCCCAAAAATAAATAACTAAATAAAAAGTAGATTCCTGGGCCTCACCCAATTTGGAATATCCAGGTGGAGCCCACGGGTGGAGGTGCAACCCCCGCCTCCTTACATAAGAGCCTGTTCCCAGGTCCCTGTGCCTAACAGGTGCTTTTGGGGCCCAGTAGTGTCTGCTTCTACTCCTAGGCATGAGTCTGGCAACATCTCTGTTTCTGTCTCTCTGCAGGCTGTCTCTCAGGCTGGTCTCTTCTGCTACTAGCAACTCAAAAATCCCTACAGCACGCCCTATCCCTCCCCGACCCCCAGACCTCTGCCAAGCCTGTTCTCCCCCATGACAACATGGTTTCATGCAAGGCCTGGATGGCTCCAAAACTCACCCAGGTCTCCAGCTCTTCTCTACCACCCAACATCTTGGGCTCACTTTTGGATAGAAAATAAAGTCTTTATTTTTGTAGTTATTGGCTCTGGGTATATCTGGGGGTTAGTCTGAGAGTCCCAAGGCTTTGGAGGAGCAACATAGCAATCACTCCCCACCCCTACCCCCCTCACCCCCCGCTGTACCCCAGGGCCCCGTTGCTATCTCTAGGAAGGATGGAGGCACCAGCCAATCTATTTGGCACCACATTCACACCACCAGGGGCCCCAGAAATGAGGGAGAAATCTTAATTAATCACTATGGGCCTGTTATATTCCCTTCTCCCCTGCACCTCAGTCATAGCCACATAAACACACAGTATGTGGGAAGAACAGAATCCTGGCTCAGGCCCACCCCCAGCCTTGGAAGGGTGGGCCCAGGGGACTACCCATCCCTCCTGTGTAAGGAACTGTTGCAGAGCTGGGTATGGAAGCGGGGCTGGGGGGAAGAGCTAGCCTGTCAGCAGCCAAAGCCTGCTAGGAATCCCACTCCGCCCCATCCACTCTGTCCTTCCAACAAGCCAACAAGCCCTCTTCCCTCTTCCCTTTCACTTCTCTCATGATCACCTGCACTGGAGTGGGGATTGTGTGTTATGGATGTAAGAAAGAGACACCCTGCTGACCAGATGGAACTAGATGTGGGCACAGTTTTGTGGCAGGTTGTCCCAGAGAGGTCGATTCTCCAGCTGAGGCTCCAGGATATGCCCGGTGTTGGCCAGTACTAGAGGCACAATGGTCACAGCTGTCTCCAGTGAGCTTTGATTCTACACAGGTTTTCAGTAGTGTCCCTGGAGGGTAACATGCAAAGGAAGAGGAGGTACTAGTCTGTGTTGAGAGGTAAGGGTGGGCGGAATCAGGAGCTGGCCGGATCCATATTCAGAGGAGCAGAAGAAACAAATAGTCCTGATCCATATGGGGAGGGGCAGAGTGGGGGTGGTTCTAGTCTTTATTTTCAGATGGAGAGGTCCGAGCCAGAGGTTATCCAGCTCTACATTCCGCGTCAGAGAGAAGAGCTGACCCTGGCTGGGAGCAGGGGAAGGCAGAGGCGGAGATGGTCTTTGCGCCGGCCCCCCCCCCGACACACCAAGTAGGGGGTGGTGGCAGAAGCTCTCCCTTTGATCTCACTCAGCATCCTGCAGAGAACCTTTCCTACAGCCTTTCATCGCTTTCATCGCCTTCCCCATCACAGAGGCCCCCAGCAATCGGGCTTCCCAAGCTGACTTGGCCGGAAAGCGCAGACAGGGGCTGCTCCAGATCAGCGAGTTCACAGGACTGGTCCACGCAGCCTCGCGTGCATATTCATTCGCACCATGTTTTTCCTTTTCCAATTCTGCACACACAGTCCTCTGCCTTCTTCCAACTCTCCGCCACTCGCCTTCCCTCGGGCGTCCGGAACCGGCGGTGACGCGGGTGGCAGGCTTGGCCTTAAAAAGTTCCCGGCCGTAGGCCGGGCACGGTGGCTCTGGCCTGTAATCTCAGCACTTTGGGAGGCCGAAGAAGGCGGATCACCCGAGGTTGGGAGTTCAAGACCAGTCTGGCCAAGATGGTGAAACCCCGTCTCTACAAAACATACAAAATTAGCCGAGCGTGGTGGTGCATGACTTTAATCCCAGCTACTCGGGAGGCTGAGGCAGGAGAATCGCTTGAACCCGGGAGGCGGAGGTTGCAGTGAGCCGAGATCGCGCCACTGCATTCCAGCCTGGGAGACAGACTGAGACTCCTCACAAAAAAATAATAATTCCCGGCCGGGCTCCGCCTCGCAGTCAGCCGGCTCCACCCTAAGCCCAAATCCCAGGCAGCCGCCAACTCCTCCCAGCGCTGCGAACTACAAGTCCCGCCATCCTTCGCGCGCGCCCTCCAACCACTCCCGCGTTTCTACCGGAGCCGCTGGATAGGTCGGCCAAGAGTGCCTTCCATTAGTCCCTCTACCCTGTCAATCACCTGGGTAGTATTGAGGGGCGGGACGGAGGTGGAGATCCGGATCCGGAGCGGCTGAAAGGCGGAAGTGGAGGCCGGAGCCTGGGACACCGCCGGGGGGGGGGGAGAGAAGCGAAGCCTGTCCGAGTCCCGGCCCCAAGTAACGCTGCCGTCCCGGAGCCGCCGTGAGTATGCCTGTCCCCGAACCTGGTGTCTCGCCTGCGTTGAAGCATCTCCAGGGCAGCCCTTACTCACCACCCAGCCCGTTTAGGGGGATAATGACCCCTCCCCCGACCCGTAGCCTCCTCCTAAGGGGTTCCCCAGGCGTCGGGCCAAAGGAGCGGGGGAGCTTCTTTCTTTAGCTTACCTGCCTTTCGTGAGCCTTAAGGAAACTCCTATGACTGTTCTCTGGCCTGTCCATTCCAGTTGTGGGAGAGAGGAACCCTAAGTTCCGCTCGCCTTGCTCCCAGAATCGAAGGATCTTTGCCAGGTGTGAAGGAACCTGTCCTTCTTGTCTTTTAGAAGTGACAGGGAGTGCTGTCTGTCGCCGTTTTCCTTCCTCCTGTCCCACGAAACCAGTTGTCCCCTCCAGCCCTAGAGGAATATGTCGATTTCCTATGGGGGAGGGGGTCGTCTGGGTGAGACCGTTCCACACGCACAGAAGTGTATTTGCGCTTCCACAACTCCTTACTTCCCTCTTTCCTCAAGCCAGAAAACCAACCAGGACCTCAGTTAAAAGTCTGGGTCATTTAGTAGGAATGAGATGTTTTCTTGCTTTGCCCCTTCTGTCTCCCTGCCCTATTCTCTAGTTATGTTGTTCTCTGAGTGTCTCTCTCTTTCTGCCCCTGAAGAATTTAGCTGAGGTTTGCTCAATCCTAGCTACAGATCACAGATCAGGGTGGATATGCCCATTCATTATCTTCTCTCCCCTCCCCCCTTGCTCCAGGCTCAGCTCTGTCCTCCCAGAGCACGTGAGTAGTTTTCAAGCCTCCTCAAAGGGACTGCTTCTCCCGGGACTGCTGTCCGTGTGTCTATAGGCAGGAGAATAAGACCCAAAATGAGGAGTCTGGAGTTGAAGAATTATCTCTTTCCCACTTCCAGACACACACACATAAACCACCCTGAGCAACAGGTCCACACCGCGCTGGTATCTAATCCCTTCTGGGCTTGGACTTATTACTGAGGACTAAGTCAAGATCCCACTGGCAGTTCTGGGGTCTGAATTGTAGCCTGAAGAATTCCCACACATGCCAGAAAATGCTGGTTCCCTCAACCGTATGGACTGTTGCTTGGGGCTTAGGTGTGTGAAATAGCTGCTGTCTCTGACCAAGCTTTGTTATGTGGCCAAAGTACAGGCCCGAGACTGTACCTTAATGAGGAGTAGCCTGTCTCTGAGGCCGTGACTGACCCTTGCTATCTACAGTGGATATGTAGATAGCAAGTGGGATAGATAGTGGGAATGTCTGTAGCTCTTCAGTTTTCTGAGCTACCTTTACCACCCTCTCGTGCTGCTTAAAAGTGCTGTTTTTTGGTATTGAGGTGTTTTTGAGTACTTCTGGACAGTCACTAGTGTCTGATTTCTCCAGTCTTGTGAGTAGACCTAGGACTTATTTCACCTTCCCCCAGCGCCCCCACTTCCCCCCTGCTGGAGTGCATTGGCCCCATCTCAGCTCACTGCAACCTCCACTTCCCAGGTTTAAGCAAATCTCTGCCTCAGCCTCCCGAGTAGCTGGGATTACAGGCGCATGCCATCATACCGGCTAACTTTGTATTTTTAGTAGAGACAGGGTTTCACCATGTTGGCCAGACTGGTCTTGAACTCCTGACCTCATGATCCGCCTGCCTTGGCCTCCAAAAGTGCTGGGAGTACAGGTGTGAGCCACCGCACCCAGCCTACTTATTTCACTTTTTATTGGACAACAGAAGCCTTCCTTATTAGGGTCAACAGCTGGATCACAAGCTCTTTATCTGTGTGGGTTCCTTGGGGGCTCATTGGAGACTTCTTCAGCCAATCTAGTTTTTCTGATCTGGGCAGCCTGGGCATCTGAGGGGCAGGGTCAGAGAGGCCTGACTGCTCACTGGCCATTGGTCTCTGACCAGACTTACGTCTTCAGGAGTGGACCATGGTTTGTCAGTCTTCAGGAGTCCTGGGATGAGACTGACCAGCCTTCTGAGGAGACCTTTTTTCCTTTGTCTGGACATGCTCTTCCAGCTCTGACTCTGAAACAATTTTTTTTGGTTTGTTTTTCTTTTGAGATGGAGTCTTGCTCTGTCACCGAGGCTGGAGCGTGGTGGCATGATCTCTGCTCACTGCAACCTCCACCTCCTGAGTTCAAGGGCTTCTCCTGCCTGAGCCTCCCAAGTAGCTGGGACTACAGGAGCGTGCCACCACGCCAGGCTAATTTTTGTATTTTTAGTAGAGATGGGGTTTCGCCATATTCGCCAGGCTGGTCTCGAATTCCTGACCTCAGGTGATCCACTCGCCTCAGCCTCCCAAAGTCCCGGGATGACAGGTGTGAGCCACTGCACCCGGCCTGAAATGACTTTTGAAGGGGAAGCTCGGCCATTTAGACAGACGAGGAAGGCCCCAGTGCTTTGGGAGAGAATGCAGCTGCTTCTGGCATCCAGAAATTATAGTCCAAGCAGAGGTCTGACTGCTTGGCAGAAAGCTATGGCTCTGTGTGTGACAGAAACCCCTCCTTTCTGATGCTGTTCCTCTCCTGCCCTCTTGCCTCTCATGATTAGTGGGCTGTTAAACTGTAGAGGGGCAATAACACTAATTTTTAAAAATCATTTTAAAGTTACAAAGTTATTTTCATACATATTCCTCACAGGTACCCTGGGAATAGTGGGGTTTGTTTCCCCACTTGTTTTTAATTTTTGTTACTTTTTTCTTTTTTGGAGTAAGATAAGGCAAGTATGTGTTTCTGCTTTAGAGAACATGCTAAAGGAACTTAAGTAGCTTGCTTAAGGTCATACATTTAGAAAGTGGTAGAGCTGGGGCTGGGATTTGGGGTCAGATGTGACCTTATCTTTTAATAGTGGGCCTTCTTTGGCCTGGTTTGTTTGCTAAATGAATGAACATGCAGGGTGAGTGCGCTGCACCACGAGGGCAGACTGTTAATCCTTTAGCCCTCCTCATCACTGGCACAGCTCTCTTCTCATTTTCTTCCCCCACCTCAACCCAAACTCCTGTCTTCTCTCTTGACCCCTTTCTTCTCTGCCTCTGAGGACCAAGACAGGAGTCCCAAGTCAGTCCTTTTCAGGGCCAGACAGTTTGCTGACATCTGCATGCCATTAATTTTTTGGGAACCTGAAAGTCTTAATGGCTAGAAAATGAAAGTTAAAGTGAGTGAACTCAGGGGTCCCTCTGGGCAGGGTTGAGGGGGAACCAGCAGAGGAGGCCTCTGATTAGTCCTCTGTTTCCCTGCTGGTACTGCCTGCTGATTGCAAGTGGGAAGAATGTGGCTGGCCACCAGGAGCTCTGGTCATTAGAATTTACATGGAAACAGAGCAAGATTATACATTTTTTGTTTTTGTATTTTTTGAGACAGAGTCTTGCTGTTGTTGCCCAGGCTGGAGGGCAGTGGCACGATTGGCTCACTGCAACCTCCACCTCCCAGGTTCAAGCAATTCTCCTGTCTTAGCCTCCTAAGTAGCTGGGATTACAGGTGCATGCCACCACACCTGTCTAATTTTTGTATTTTTAGTAGAGATGAGCTTTCTCCATGTTGGCCAGGTTGGTCTCAAAACTCCTGACCTTGTGATCTACCCTCCTCGGCCTTCCAAAGTGCTGGGATTACAGACATGAGCCACTATGCCCAGCCAAGAGCATACGTTTAAATTCAGCCCACCAGGCAAGTACTTTTTTTTACTTCCTGCCCTTCCCCAGGAAACAGGCAGTGTGGTAGGGTGTAAGGCACTAGAACTTTGGAGGCAGTTGGACCTGAGTTCTCATCCCAACTCCCCCACTTATCAGTTGTGTGACCTTGGGCTTGTTACTTGACCTCAATGAGCCTATGTTTCTTCCTGCTTTAGAGAACATGCTAAAGGAACTTAAGTAGCTTGCCTAAGGTCATGCATTTAGAAAGTGGTAGAGCTGGGGCTGGGATTTGGGGTCAGATGTGACCTTATCTTTTAACAGTGGGCCTGTTAAGGTCAGATGTGACCTTATCTTTTAACAGTGGGTAAAATGGGGATGCTAGATACCTTGCAGAATTAGAAACAAAGAAAGAAGCTAGTCCAGTGCTGGCAGAGACTAGAAAATAGCTTTTGCCTCTGATGGGTAGGTAGGGGTTTGAAGGTAAATCATAAAATCATAATTCAACGCCAAGATTCTTTCTTTATTTTATTTTATTTTATTTTATTTTTGAGACAGAGTCTCATTCTGTCGCCCAGGCTGGTGTGCAATGGTATGATCTCGGCCCACTACAACCTCCACCTCCTGGGTTCAAGCAATTCTCCTGCCTCAGCCTCTTGAATAGCTGGGATTACAGGCATTCGCCACCATGCCTAGCTAATGGGTTTTTTTTTTTTTTTGAGTTGGAGTCTAGCTCTGTCACCAGGCTAGAGTGCAGTGTGGGATCTCGGCTCACTGCATCCTCCGCCCCCTGGGTTCAAGAGATTTTCCTGCCTCAGCTTCCCAAGTAGCTGGGACTACAGGGGCATACCACCACGCCCAGCTAATTTTTATATTTTTAGTAGAGATGGGGTTTCACCATGTTGGCCAGGATTGTCTCCTAACTCTGGACTTCAGGTGATCCGTCCACCTTGGCCTCCCAAAGTGCTGGGATTACAGGTGTGAGCCACTGTGTCCGGCCCTAATTTTTGTATTTTGTGTAGAGATGGGGTTTCTCCATGTTGGTCAGACCTCCTGACCCAGGTAATCGAGACCAGCCTTGACACTGATTATGATTCAACATTTGTATCAATTATATGCTGGGGCCTGGTGCAGTGTCTCATGCCCATAATCACAGCACTTCAAGAGGATCGCTTGATCCCAGGAGTCCAAGACCAGCCTGGATTCAGGGCTGTGGTGGATCAGGCCTGTGATCCTAGCACTGTGTTTTTTTTTGTTTTTTGTTTTTTTTTTTAAATGGAGTCTTGCTCTGTTGCCCAGGCTGTAGTGCAGTGGCTCAATCTCAGCTCACTGCATCCTCTCCCGCCCGGGTTCAAGCAATTCCCC